CATGGATGGATGACTTTAGGTTTTTGCCAATGATTAGAATATTAGATGATATTAGGCTTCAGATGATAGCCAAATGGGTGGGGGATAAAAAAGATGTAGAGAAATGGAATGGGGATTTTAGCCCTAAGTGTTTGTATATGTTTAACACAAATAGGGATCTAGTAGTAAAATATAGGGTAAATTTTAATGGCGATCAAGGATATGAGGTGATAGAGGGTTTGGATAGGTATAATATTTATTTGAACATAAAGAAATGCACTTATAGGATTTGGGATCTCACTGGTAGCCTTTGTTAACATGCTATTTGTGCCTTTTATCATGCCAAAATAGACCCAATGACTTAAATTTCCTAATGCTACTATAAAGAAACCTACCTTGATAGTCATAGGGAAAAGTTACTGCTAGTGAGAAGGAAAAAATTCTAGAAGGTAATACAAGTAAGGAAGACTACAAGAAGATTGCATTTAGTAAATGATTTAGGACCTTCAAAATTTTCTTTTTGATCCAACAATCCTTAAAAGGGGAGGAGAACTAAGTATGACAACCTCACAGCTTCAGGCTCATAGAGAAAAGAGAATTGGATATATGAGGAGGAATTCTACTCATAGAAGCATTTGATTTGAAATTTATATTTACTAAGTTTAAGTTAATATTGTAGGCTAGTATGACTTTTGGTGACATTATGTAACACTCTGTGTTTAGGCATGTATGACATTTATGTTTTGGTTTGGCTATATGGTGCTAATACTCTGAACTTTTTGGTGTAATCAAGTCTTCAAGAAATGCATGTATGACACTTTATGTTTTGGCTTAGCCATGTCACGCCAATTGTTAACACTTTCAGGTGTGACATGGAATGGTTATACATAGAACCAAGTGTTGCTTTCAATTATTGTGAATCAACTTTCTATGTTAAAGTTTTATTCTTACAGTGCTATTTCATTTTCATTCCTCTAATTCATTTGTTAAATGCTTAACAAAATAGGGATTTATACAAACTATTGGAATGAAAATTTGGAATTATGAATTTTTTTCAATAGTAATATTCATTGCCAATCAATCAAAAGTATTACAACACCTATTGTCTTTCCAAAACATTACAACATATGAAGGGAAGCAACCCCTTTAGTTTGCCTTTCAAAAGGGACTCTTATTAATGCCTAAACCAGTGATTAGGAACGAAATTATACACCCTTATACATTAAAAAAACACCCAGGACAATGTCATATAGGATAAGGCTACATTTAAGCTCTTTTTCAACCTCCTTTGCATCTTCTTGATTTCTTCATACATAGCATCAACCTCTGCATCAATTAAATTTCCTTCATCATGTCTTCCACATTCATTATTCTCAATAGACAAATTTTCCATATGCTAGAGAAACTCATTAATTACATCATTTGCCCTCTTCCCCATCTTACCATCATGCTAGTTGAAGAAACCATACTCACCCTGTAACTAATGACAACAACCCTACTTTCAAGAATGGGGAAGACACAACACCCAAATGAAAAATATAATGCAAGAAGACAAAAATATCATGATAGTTATAGTAGCCATAAAACCTTCTTTGGATTTTCCTTACTTCATGATGTCTATTGTGGAGCCACCACACCATAATGACAGAACCTCCTTGAACCTTCATGATGCACCTCACATTATCGCCTAAGGGTTGCAAGCCTCCATCGAGCTCCCCTCATTGTATGAGAGGTTGATTCAACCATGCCTTCACTCAATTGACCTTTCGTACAACCTCAAGAAGCTCTAGATCTTCACTTCAATGCTCGTATAATAGTAGTCATTAAGGGTTGGTGACAAAATTACATAGAATTGATGAAAGGGAAAGAAAGATACAAGGCATGTCATCAATCAAACTCCACATGTCAGGTTTACAAATTCCAGCAAGGATTTCTATTAGCCAAACTTAAGTTTTAACGGTCAACATTTGATGGATTTAATAACAAGGGTGAAAAAACACTTTTTTTTTTTAAGTTTCAAGACAAAATTGCTCCAAACAAAAGTTTAGGATATTAAGTGCTCCTAGAGAAAAAATTTCAAGACATTTTTTCCTTTTATTCCTTAAGAAAATATCTGGATGTTTAGATTTAATTTTGGAAGGTCAAAATTTAATATTTTAATTGTTTATACATGTATTAAAATAAAAAATTTATATAAATTACAAAAAAAAGTTATAAATATACCATTTGGATAATTTAGATTTAATATGAATGGTCAAAATTTAATATTAGATATTTATAAAAATATAAAAAATTAATATTAAGTATGCATTGTCTAAAATATATCTAGATAATTAATTTATAAAAATTATGAAAAATTGTAATACTAAATTTCTAGCATTCATATTAAATTTGTATTGTCCAAATTAATTAACAAATTTATTAAATTTTTAATAATTTATGTAAAATTTTTTAGTTTAATATATGTAAAATAAAAATAAAAATAAAATATTAAATCTAGACTATCTAAATATTTCCTTAATGCAGCGGAAGGGCAAAGGAAAGAATGCTCAAAGGAGGGAGGGCAGGTCTCAGAAATTTGGGACTACATATGATGCTTGTCATGCTTAATCTTCTTGACAAGATGTCCACCATTTAGATTTAATTTGAATAATTTATATTTAATTTTTTTTAATTTTTTATTTTATATTTATCAAAATAAAAAATTATAAACTTTTTAATAAATATGTTTATCATTGATTTGAATATTTCATATTTAATTTAGACTATCTAAATTTAATATTAATTTTTGTAATTTATTTAAATTTATTATACTAATTTACTTTATACTGTTCAAATTTAAAATTTTTTAACTTGCAATTTAAAAAAAATTGAAAGTGTTAGTTGGGATATTGTCTTTATTTTTTAATATTATATTTACAGAAAAAATTTATAAAAATATGGACAACGCTCATCATCCTGATAGAAATTTGTGTATCAAATCCAGATGACTGAAAAATTTGGAGAAATTATAAGTATTGGAAGTTTTTGACAATGCCATGTGGATTTACAATTGAATTTGAAGAATTATTAATATAACTTTTTGAAGTAGTCTTTCACTATTGGGCCACTCCGACGCATGACTTTGAGAAGCCCATTAACAGCAAAAGTCCATTTCTCCTATCGTTTGGAATAAGATGCATTTCCGGCCAAAAATTGCCTAAATAGTGGACATCTAGTTAAGAGAAAGCCCTGTATATGCATTAAAGTTCCAAGATTTAGTGCCTACATTTAGTTTTTAACTGTGTCCAATATCATTGCGTCAATGAGAGGGATGATACCAATAAATAAATAAATAAAATCCAATATTGTACTGCCCAGACCAAAAGTTGATTGCTCAGAGTATATTCCAAATCCAGAGTCTTCGGTTCATTCCAGATGAATCAGTTTTTTTTTTTTTAAGAAAAAAGGATACTTAGAATATGAAGTAAACTAGTGAACAAAAAAAAAAAAAAATTGGAAGCCCTAGATATGAATCAAGATGACAGACTGGGTTGTGCTCAGACAAAAACTAGGCGACTATTCGATTCATTTCTGATGAGTTCCAGGGTCTTCAATTTAGTTAAAGAGAAATCAATGCATTGTTTTTACAAATAATTTAATTAATTTCTTTAATATATGTGAATAAGTTATTTAATTTCTATATTTAAGTTCAGAAGTACAAGATAAGACCCTTTGTTTTAAAGGAAAATCCTCTAGAGATTTCTTATGCAATTTTTGTTTTAGAAAAAGACTAAAGGATTTTGATTTTACATTGCAAGACTGAGAACTATAATGTAAAGAACTTTGAGTGTGAAATAACAAAAATACCTTTGCTATTTGAAAAAAAAAAAATGAAAAAGTCTACCTTAAGGTTCTCAGCACCAATCGTCAGACTGCTACCTCCAGTTGCTAGAGACTCCTAATCACTGGACATAATAAACAATTAAATTATTAAAGGCGGCCAAACCACCCAAAATGTCAATGACCATCAAGCTACTAATGCTCTTTACTTATATCATGCAAACAACAATATATGCAATAACTTTAACACCAAGTCAATCCCAGGTGAAGGCCTCTGGTAAACAACTCTTCTTTCAAAGATAATAAGTCTCCATTTTATTTTAACAAGCATTAATTCTATAATAATAAGTCCACAACATATTCATGTTATTTGAGAGAAATGAGTGTTAGTGATTTGATATATAAGTCATTATTCAAAAAAAATCAAGTTTCCCTTTTACTTTAACAAGTATCAATTATGTAATTAACAAGTTCACAAAATATTCATTTCGCTTGAAAGAAACAAATGTTTTAATTTAGTGAACAAGTTATCATTTAGAGAAAAACAAGTCTCCATTATATTTTTTGGACTTGTTTGTTTCATATATATTAAATACTTCTCTCAAACAAAATGATTATTTTCTGAACTTGTTAATCATGAAATTTATGCTTGTTAAAATGATACGATGACTTGTTTTTTCTCAAATTAGAACTTGATCACCAAACCATAACACTTATTTCTCTCAAGTAAAGTGAATATTTTGTGAACTTGTTAATTGCAAAATTGATGATTGTTGAAACGAAATAGGAACTTTTTTTTTCAAATGATAACTTGTTTACAGATCACAATACTTGTTTCTCTCGAGCAAAATGGATATTTTGTGGACTTATTAATTATAGAATTGATGCTTGTTAAAATGGAATGGGGACTTGTTTTTCTAGAATGATAACTTGTTCATTAAATCCCAACATTTGTTTCTCTCAAACAAATAAATATTTCATGGAGTTGTTAATTATGAAATTGATACCTGTTAAATTATAATAGAGACTTGTTTTTCTAATGATACTTGTTCATCAAAGCACCTCACTTGTGATTGAATTGTTGTTAAAGTTATTACTTTTATTATTGAAGTGTCGTTAAAATGTATATGAATAACAAGAAGTCATGGACTATAAAGAATCACAAATTGTTTATTTTACCAAGGGTATCAACAAAAGAATTCCACAAAATTGCAGGTTGCAAAATTCTTGTGCCACACAAAGTCACCAAACATCATAATTTTGCTAGCAGTTAATATTGTTATGTACATATTCTTTTCCATTGTGGTCAATTTCCTGTCCTCTGGTCTGGACATTGCTGCTGCTGCCAGAAAAGGCATTTTTCTCCCGCTGTAAATATACAATTTCCTCTGCACAGGATAAAGCTTGATTGAAAGAGAGAGAGGAAACAAGTGGCTAAGATGATCAAAGAAGTTAAATTCAAGGAAATATACACACACATATATTTATATGTTTTGGGTAGTCTCCTTTTAACTAAGCAATCGCATATTAACCGGTCTGAATTGCAAGAAGTTTATTATGCTGCTAAGTGTGTTTACAGTATAATATGAATAGACAATATAAGCCTGTTATTGAAAGAATCAGTTGATCAAATGAACAAGAGCCTTGTGGTTTGTAGTTTGAACTCTGAAATGGACACATCAGTCAATAGCTTTCTGCTTTGGAAACTTGGCCTTTCATCCTCTTTCTTACATTAACCACAGGTTTCCTGGATTGAACTCGAGCTTGCTTTTCACGCCTACCAAGAAAACATGCCAAAGAATAGTCATATGTTAATATCTACAGAAGTAAAATGCTTCTGCAACTTCAAATTGTGTGATGCAGACATTGTGTTATGAGTCTGATATCAGAAAGCCTTGTAAGTAAAGTGGAGTTTACAAGTTCAAGGGGTTCTCCCATGCAATAAGCTATTCTTTTGTGATGGACTATTCCTTTAAACTTGTACTCATAACATTGGTGCAAGTTTTGACTAGTAGGAGGCTGAGTGAAATGCCAAGTACCTCGCTCAAGTGGTGACTATTTTACAAGGAGGGGAGCAATGGAATACACTATTATAGTAGCTGAAAATGGAATACACTATTGTAGCAGCTGAAACAACAGATTCTCCAACTACATTACAATACCTCGCTCCTTATACAAGAGGAACTCTCGTGAATGACATGCTTTAATCATTCATGACGAGCCCTCCAAACAAGCACATGCTTATCACCAAATATCTCTTCTATTAAGATGATCACTTGATCGTGACGACTTTATAAGTTCAAAGAGTTCTTTTACCTAATAGGTTAGTTTTTTAAGATAAACTCTCCATTTAGACTAATACTTGCAACATACTGCACTCTTATTTTCTGAAAAACTGTATTTCGCATAATCTCAAGCCCCACATGGGTTGAGAATGAGAATTAAACTCTACGAAATCTAATTTCCCATTGTTCTTTGGCAGCTCAATGGTAAAGCTGTCAGCTTTCTGCATTTTTTTTTCTCACCCCTCTCCTTTATCCTTATTTTGACATGAAGTAATGAGGTGGGGCCAAAAGTGATGTGAATTTGGTGGGTATGAAAATAACACAAATCCTAAATTGCAATCAAGGTTTTTCATTCTGGTGAACACCTTCTGATTAATTTGCAAATATTTGATGCTTAAAAGTTGAAAAATCTGCAGGCATATGAGACTGTTAGCATAATGACCACAATTAAGTTTGAAAATTAGTATATAAGTCAACACCTTAAGCACATTTGAAGAGTGAAATGCATTATTTAACCATATTTTTAAGAAGCTCTGAGCATATCTCAAGCCATTTGAGCAAAAGGTTATGCCACCTTGGGAGAATTAACTTCTAGAAACTAATAAAATTCCCGAAAACAATAAAATTCTTCTTTCGAAAAAATCACTCAAGGTGTGAAATTGAATTACCAACAAAATTAAAACTACTCTGTTAAAAACAGGAATGAAGAAGACACTTGATACTCATTGTTGAGTCTTGTTTTCTTTATACCTAACAGTGACATTTCCTCCAGTCTCCGTGTTTGAAACTTCCAGTTCTGGGAAACTGCTAGAATTTCCGTTCCCTTCACTGTGAGGAAAAAGACCAGTGTCATGGTGATCAGGACAACTGCTTTCAGCATTAAATCTTGAAACAGAGAATGACATAGTTGAATGAGATGGTCTAATTTTTTGAGGAAGATCTATGCTTATTAGATCATACTGGCTGGGAGGAGCAATATCCTTTTCCTCATTAGCAGATTGGGAGATTGCAATTGATACAGCTTCCGAAGAATCCTTTCCAGGCAACCAAAAAAAAAAAAAAAACACAGTAATACCATTAAACCTGATTTCAAGATATTGCACTTTTGTTTACAAGATTTAGGTGAAGATAAAATCAATGAAAGTTATCTAAATCCCTAAATGCAAGTAACAAGAGCATGTTTCAGAAAAATTGTGCCATTTTCTGTTAAGTATTATGAATCAAATATCAAACACAAAAATATGCTCCAAGAGGTAATGATAATTGATGATAACGAAAGGGAGCCATTCTGACCTCCATTGTTCTTTCATTGAAGATATCTGACTTATCAAGTGATATATCCTTCTCTATAGAAGAACAGGACATATCATTATCACCAACCAGTCCTCTAACTGGATCTTGATCTCCCCCAAATAATTCTTCAATGTTTTGGAATGTTAAGTCAACGTCAGGTATGTTAAAATCATCTTGACAAATAAGTTCTTCACATATCCCAAGGTCTTGAATATTATGAGACCACATCTGCAAAAATTAATACAAGATTCCTACTTTGACCTCGGATATGATGTCAACCAGAAGAATGCTACTGAGCAACCAGTATAATGTTGATCAAAAGCAAGCATAAAAAGTTAGCAAAGAAACAAATCCTTTATGTTGCTTATTGAAGAAAAACACAGACTAGAAGGTCAATCCTGTATCCTAATTAGGTCCAACAAAAGAGAGCAGATAATTATCAAACCTGATTACTTTGAAGTGGACTTTTGCAGGTCCAGGAGAACTCACTGTTCAAGGGAAGGTCTATCATTGGAGATGAAGGTAAATTATCTAGTTCAGAAAATGTGGATGACAAACTTTCAAGCTTCAGCTCTGCCATGGGACTGTCTCTTTCCTGAAGAGTATTAGTAAAATCCTGGGGATTTTGTGCATGCTGATCACATTTATCATCATAGTTCTTTCGAGTATGGTGCATTGAAGAAGAAGAGACTGTTTCTTGCAGCCCAGTTACCAGTGGAGAATGATTACTGTTCTCACTATGTTGAAGCCTTTTCAAATCAATAATCTGCTGCAGAATAACTTGTCTCTCTCGATCTTTGTACAATTTCTGCAAAATGAAGTTCAAAGCTGAGAAAATGTATAGATCAGAGAGGTTTAAACTAAAGAAAATGACATGTAGGAATAAAGTACTTTTGCAGTCTACAATCCACAATCACAGACTTCATCTCTATAATTAAAAGAAGTACAAAAACTCTCATCCTGCATACCTGACCTTGTTGACTGCTAGATCCACCATCAAATTTAGTCCTAGATACCACTGAATGGCCTCCAGTTTTATCACCAAATTGTCCCGAGAGATTTACTGCATTCAAATCTGCAGAACCACTGTTTTCTATCTCATTCAATTCAAAACCCCAAAGTACGGCAAAGTCTTTGGCAGAAGGGCAACCCATGTAACTTCTGATAGCTCGTTTCTGGTGTTTCAAGGAGGGATCGTGAAGCTTCTGATCACAGCCGCGGCAGATCAGGATTTGGTGATCCAAACACTGCGCATAAGCAAAATGGTTTCTGCATAGGTTACATATAAGGGTTCTGAGGTGGCGGCTGGACAGTGCATTGGCTTTATGGACCTTTGCATCACAGGATAGACAAAGATATGCTTCATCAGCTTTACAATAAACCACTGGCCTCAAAGATGTGCAGAATTCACAAGCTCTCTCCATTCCCTTTGCTCTGAAAGGCCAAAGAAACTATAAAACATCATACTGTGTCCAGTACAAGAGATGTAGTCAATAAATTAAGAGCTGAAATAGAACATCTAGCCAAAAGGTAAAATAGAGCAAAGGAAAAGGGTTCATTTGCATGCACTTGAATCATAACAACAAATATCAAGAGAGTGCTTGTAAATTCTTCTCTCAGAAAAAAAATTAATTGAAACTCCAAAGTAAAGGCTTATAAAAAATCATTAGTCTGTACAAATGATTTACAATCTTATGTTTCAAATACAGCTAGGATGATGAAGGCGTTGCAAGAATAAAAATACCTGATAATCTGATATCCAAAATCCAGAGGCCAAAGCCTAGCACTCCTACCACTCAAAGTCGTTACAGAGACTGCAAGGCAACATCGTAATTCTTAAGAAAAAACGAAGGACATCTCAACAACGGAAGTATCAAATCAATCTGAATACAAAACCATGACATCCCATCCCGTAGTACCCAATAAGCACGAATCTCTTGTGAACTTTGAGGAGCATGCAGTTGAAAATTAAGCGTTGACGCACTTTTGGGACAGGCTCATAATGACTTTGAAAGATGAGAAGTAAAAGAGACGTACCCGTGATTGTTTCCCAAGAAAATTAGCAAAAGGGAAATAAAATAGGAATTCCTCCAAGAAAGTAAACAGAAAATGGGGATTATTGTTCTTAGATTTCAGCAAAGCCAAAAGGGTGTTAAATTTTCCAGGAAAAATCAAGGCTTTGAGCCTGAGGAGCTTGCTTGTGCTCTCATTTCATGTGGGCTGGCTTTGTTTCATGGTGGTTCTGGGTTGCGTTGGTCGACGCTTGCTCAAGGGGCATTAATGACATGTTATGTTTAGCCATTTGGGATGACGTGGCAAGATCAGACCCCGAACTTTCCAGCGTGGATGAGAAGACGTGGAGGGGGAGGTGGGTCCCACTGACGTTATCCAAATAAGACATGTGAAGGAAGAAAGGTTGTTCTGCAATCGGTTAGCCTTGTCAAACCAATGGGAGGCTGCCATGCCATTCGGCATTGAAATGACGTCGCCTTCAGCTCTCCGGGATAGGCGGAGGCCGATTGTAGGGTCCACCAAAAAGGACCACGCAGAGTCTTAACTCACGAGGTGACTATCCCATTTTTATTTTTATTTTATTTTTTATACAGATATTCCAAATAGTCGTGAAACTAGTTTTTCAAAAAATCAAAATGTAATTCAGGCGTTGTCATTTTTCAAGCAGTAAATGCATGGTTTGAATTTTGGAATGATACTTAAGACCAAAATTGCTATACCATTTGTGCTATATTTACTTGGTTTTATTTTTTTATTAAGTTATCTTTTTATAAGACCATGCTAAAAATAAAATTAATTAATTTTCTCTTTGGTTTCTTCAGCTTGCAATCTCTAACCTACACTTCGTTTAACTTGTGAGCCAATCTCACGTGGATAAATCATTTCATTATTTTATGATTATTAATTAGGTCCAGCATGGGATATATTCACAATTTTGGTGTGAACATATTCTTCTTTCACCCAAAAAAAATTAAAATCAAAAATATTTTTATTCCTCTATTATATTTTACTTTTAAACAAATTTATATTTAATAAAATGAGAATTTTATAAATCATAAATAATGCGATTTATATTTCAGATTCCCTGAAAACTAGTTATAGTCTAAAAAGCAAATATTTGGAGGAAAGAATTAGATCAGATTCAGTGAGGTTGTTTTTTCCATCATTTTCAGCTGATTTGGATTTCAGATGGAACAATTAATAATTAATAATGTTTCACAATGTTCCAAACTTGGGTGTGGTCACCGGCCAGGTTGGCATGCTTTTATATGAAACGAGCATGGTCCTCGTTCCATGAGAATACAGAAAGAGATGGAGATTTTATTTTTTTAAAAAAAAAAATAAGGAACAAAAAATAAATAATAAAAAAGAAAAATAAGGGCAAAAAGACAAATGTCCCCAAACAGGTTGAAGTTGGTACTAGGGAAAACTTCACTGGGCTTAGATTAGAAGCCAACATAATAAACAGAGCTAAAACAAATAAACAATGCATGCTTTGTGAAGTGTTCCCAAAATCTGTGATATGGGATGGAAGATGCTAGTAACATTAATTTGGACTTAAGTTTGCACATTAAAAAGATCATTTTGATTCAATGTTTAAGATGAACTAATATAAATAAATAAATCTTCAGTTAACAAATTAAAAAGCATTAGTCTTGCTGTTGGCCATTTTGAACAATCCTATTACACATTGTGAACAAAGTATTTTATCCAAATTTTCATATATGAATTGAAAATAAAAATGAAAATGAAAATAATGACAATAATAAAATTAAATAAATAAAATTATAGGTTCTCGGATAAAAAAATAAAAATATATAATAATTTTACAAAACAAATTTTTCATTTTGGTGACTTCCACAATTTTGGTCATCTTAAAATTAATTGTCATGATATGGTTATAACGGAAATTGGCAAATAAAAAATGAAAGTCAAATAAGGGCCATAAAAATATTTTAATACAATGGGATTATTATTTGATTAGGCCATTAATGAGTAAAAATCTTAGTTGTGCCTATAAAAAGGAGAGAAGGAGGCTGGAGGGGAGAGACAAATGAGGTTGGGGAAGTTCTGAATTGTTAGGTTACGTACCCCAAGGTTCATTGCTGCTCGAGCTCACGGATTTTAATAAGTGATCATCACATACTCGCTTGGGTAATGTGCTCTTGCCTTTGCGTCTTGCTTCATCCAATTTGATCATCATATTCTTTACCTGTGCGCTCCTTTATCCCTTCCTTGACATAATATGCTCTTGGCTTGATTGAATTACCATCAAGTTAAAGTTTTTGTTTTCAATTGACTCACTCGTTAGGCCTCTCAACTTTATATCTTATAATTTTTAATCATTCACCTTTAGAATATAAATTTCTATTAAAATTTGACATTATATGATTTCTGATAATTTTTTACATAGTTTTTTCATAGCCTTATATTTAAAAAACAGTTGTTGTTCCATAGCCTTACATTTAAAAAAAAAAAAGAACTTTTGTTTTCCTCTATATCATCATCTATCTCCTTTCTTGCTTTTAGTTTATATAATTGATCATACTATGGTTGTCTTATCTTGAAAAGGCATATGATAAATAAGTCTTCAAGGTGATTATTTGGCGGCAATTTATTACATGATAGAATGAGTTTGTGGATAATTTATTTGTATTGATATTTATTTTAGACTAATGAATCATTTACTTTTATTTTCTTAAAAAACAAGGAAGAATTTTTATTAAAAAATAATAAATAAAAAATACAACCAAAAATAACATTCTCTTCATAAAATAAATTAATTAAAAATTAAAAAAAACTTAAATAATAATGCTTTGAACTATGTAAACTTTGATTATATCATAAGGTACGTAGGCTTAAGCTTTAATCCTAAATCAAATCCACTCATATAAATAAATAATTTTTTTCACTAATTTTTCATTTTCATTTTTGCATGTGATTATAAAAGGTAATCAAGATATGATTAAAATGCTAATTTAATTTTATACAATTAACTTAGAGAGTAACTGTTTCTATGAACAAATATTGTGAGGTACTTAACACTTTCTTCACACATAATTTACTCACAAACCTTTCTTTATATACCATCCTTTTTCATTATAAGTTTTTTAAAATTTCTTTAAAAACCTTAATGATGACTCCTAGTTTCCTATATTATCGACCTTTTCTCTCTAGAAAAGTCACAATTAGGGCACAACACACATCCAACAATTTATCATGAATTAAATATTCAAATAACTTAAGTATGGCCATGTAAAGTATATCTGAATCTTCCAAGTATTTTACATTTTTTCTTGAACATTTCAACTCAACGAGGAAATTGAAGCTTTTAATTATAAATAAATCAAACCCAATATTAAAATAAGAAATTCGTGAATATGTCAATGGAAATTTGCATGTTCACTGGAGAAATTGACCGTTATCAAACAAAATCAGGACAAATTATTTTCACTGCAGGAAGGGATCTTCCCTTTTTTCAGCAAACAGTTTCAGTGCCCACTACCAGTGGTGAGCACTTAGCACAAATATGGAGGGAATTGCATTTGGTGCTCATCGCTTGTGATGCTCATCAGGTCAGATCCCTACCATCCATTTAAATTAATTTTTTAAATATTTTAAATATTATATTTATTAATATAAAAAATTTAAAAATTTTAATATATCTGTTTACTACCAATTTGGTCAATACAAATTTAAACTAGCAATCCAATTTAATATTAAAAAATTTATAAATTTTAAAAATTAACCATGTAAAATACATTTTAAATAGTCTAGATTTAATATTAACATTTTTAATTTTTTTTATTTTAATAAATATAATATTAAAAATATTTAAAAAATTTAATTTAAATAAACAATAAGGATCAAATAAAGCTGAAATGGAGGGCCAAGATTATTCCTGACCCTAATGAGCACACGGTGCTCATCACTACAATGAGCACCATATGCGGATGCAATATGGACTGTCCATGTTAAAATCAGATTGTCCAGATTTGACATAATTTAACTTTGAACCTAGACCATCCAAACTCAGGGTTGGTTTGGACGGAGAGAAAGATGAGAAAAAGAATGGGAAGAAAAGAAAACTGAAAGGAGAATTTCCCAAAAAAAAAAAATATTTTTAAGAGTTTTTCTTCCCAGTTTTATTTCCCCCATATTTTCTTCTAAACCATGGGAAAGCGTGGACCGTTTGGATCTCAATGCTCATCGCTGCCATGAGCACCAAAACCAGAGAGTCTATTTCCTCATCATCGATTAAATATATGATTAATGGATGCAAAAGTGGGAATCAAACATAATAGAGTTGAACTATTTTCGATACTAAACAACAAAATGGAGCTTGATATATAATTATTATATTGCTACAAGCTAGGGAACCCATGACATGTGCAATCTGGTCATGTAAGATCCTCCAGTAGATATGGTACCATTTGTACCATTTAGACACCAAAATATGAGGAATGGACAATGACTAACTTCTGGATCAAAAGCCAATGTAGTGATTTACAAGTCATGTGGGCCCAGGAATGTGTTCCCTTTTACAGCCGAACACAACTCTTCAATGGTGTAAATTAAATCTCGACCATCACCATTGCAATGGCACGTGTATACTGATAGTTGAACACAATAATTTTTCCCAATCAACCCCTATCTAACAAAAATCATGCACACTCAAAATGTCCCAAGACCTATTTCATTAGATGATCCAATTTGACAAACTCAAAACTGGTTCATTTTGGAAACATGATTCACACCGTCCATGAAGTTCATTTAATAGTCCAAAAGCAGAATATCAGCAAATTCAGAATACAAGTAACTCGAAGGGAAATAAACATTAAGAGAAAGAATTGTTAATATTAAGTTACTGACACAATTCATTTCAATAAAATATCTTCATTCAACTAGTTTATGATAAAAACTAGTCAACTTATGAAGAGTGTAGAAACCCTAGCATAATTCACATCTAAGAATAGGTATATTACACTGTCAACAACCTATACCATATAACGAAGAAAGTTCTACCAAGCCGATGTCTCAATATAAATTCATAAAATTATAAGCTGTACAATTAAGCCAAATATTGCATCTATAACAAAAAACATACAATGTTTTCTCATAAAAGTATTATGAGATAAACTTTTAAGGCAATGTAACTCCCAGAAGAGGTACTGAAAAGGGTTGATTTCAGTTCCATGATTTAAGCAAAAGCCTGAATAAGAAAAGTGTTGGTGAGATATATATCAATACAAGAAAGCACCGTCATGTTCATATCCACTGTCAGAGGAAAAATGGTTCAATTTCTAACAACATTAGAACCCAAAACCCCAACTAGGATCAGACACATCCACCGTAGTTTTCTTCTAAACTTTAGCCACTACTTAAGTCTGAACAACAGCCTCACAGTGCATAACCAGTGTTTGAGAAATTGTAAACAGTATCTCTTAGTAAATCAGAACCATGAGTAGAACGCAAGCATTACTCCACTTCTATCATTGATTAAACTGAAGTTTATTCATATTAAGATCGTACAAACTTACTTGCTTGACCTTTTGAAAATTTCGAATGACAACTTAAACTAAGCCAACCAATTATGAAACAAAAAATAACAAGACCAGAAACAGAATTTTAAGAAGTAATAACATATCACACCTTGATCAGCTTGACTTCACATGAACTTCAATGATATCATCATCTTCCATCCCAAGGCCACTAGGGGTTTGGGATGGATTAATTCTATCCCCGTCAAAAGAAAATACTAAATGTCTCTGGTCAAGCTTTACTTTATCTGCATACATTTTGAAGATCCGTTCAAACTTGTCGTCCTAAAAAAGCAGACAAACTTCAAATCAACCCTGTACGGAACTCATTGGACATCATAGCATAAAGTGAAGTATGGGCAAGGGGGAAGGGGAAAACAGCGAGAAACAACTGCCAAGTTGTATTTTTAAAGGATGGATAGCAGAATGAAAATGTAATCCGAAATACTGGAGACAACTTTATCATAAGAAGAGAAATTGCACCTAAATCTCAGACTATCTTTCTCCAAAAAAGCTTAAGAGAATAATAGTTGAACTAACTTATTCACATCTTAAACAGAATAGAACAAAAGCTTGCCATGCAATTCTAACAGTAGGCTGTTGCTGAAAAGGAATAGCACAGTTATTTCTCAGATTCAACATAAGTCTAAGTATAAAGTGACAGAACCACCATAAACAAAGGGTAGCTCAAACAGATGTTGATTCAAAGTAAGCAAATAATCCTTAGCCTTGAATAACTTAACAGTCACTAATAACAACAGAAATTTAACACAGTACATGCTAAAGGAATTCAACACAATATATAGTATATACCATGTATACACGAAACTGCTTCACTCCATCCTTGTCTTGTATGGAGATGACAATCTTAGCTCTTTCAGGAGGTTTTAATGTTTCCTCACTTGCAGCATCCACAGAAGTCTGCAACGAATTATCAAGCTCTCTCTTTGCAGACTCCTTAACTTCTTGTAACATCTCTTTTGCAGATTGTGCGAATGAGACAAGCTCCTGCTTTTTTAATCTACATGCAAGAATCAATTGTTATAAGCCACTACATAAAAATAGTAGAGAGAATAATAAGGAACACTTCAGCATCTTGTTAGTAACAGAATGGTGCAGAATGATAGGCTCAACTAAAAATCAAAGAGAATCTCATATTCTCATTTCAAAATCAAAGAGAATTTTCTGATTTCCTGGCCCCTGATAACCAGAGGCTAAGGCTTTGCAACTTTTACACAATTTTCTAATGATGGAAAACACATTTAGGGGGAGGGGGGAGAGAGAGGAACTAATGTTACACAACCAATGAAGCATGGATTCTGACATGCCAAGCTTTATCAATATTAGAGATAACAAACACACATGAAAATAATTTTCCTTATCATCAGAGATGGTTTCTATATGATCACAATAGTTTATTTGTTCAGATGTCATCCTTTTTTTCTTTGGCCTGATTTCAAGTGTCACCCTTTAATTTTTCCTGATGTTCAATTGTTTTTTAACTAGTAAAACCGTCAATAAGGGAAACAGCAGAACCCCACGAGCCCCTCTATGTGGCAGAAAATTGATGGACACCCACTATCTATCAAGTAAACTATGCTATTGCTGGCTCTACAAGACTTGTTCTTTCTCAACATTTTTCTTGTGCAACATGATGGCTAGTGGAGAGGGTTTTAGGGACTAGCAATGTACATAAATTCTAATCAGTAAGGCTGAATGATTGTGCAGGCAAAGATAGATGATAGAACTGGAGACGCATTTTAAGTTGGATTTTGTCATTAAGAATAAAATAGACACAGACACACAGTTTGCCTAACAAGCAAGAAAGACAAATAATTCCCAAGGAAGAGATTTTGTAGGGATGGATTCTAGCTCATGCAGTATCACTTAACATTTTTGTAATATTGTGAGAAGAAACCAGCACTTGTGCAATACTCCACAGTTAAAAATTCATGGACCTTATGGAATACTACAGTTAAGGTTTATAGAAACGAAAGGAAAACTGGGGCAGACGGCCCATCTAAGCAAACAGAAAGAATATTCAAATATCCTAGAAAAGGAAAGAAGGATAAAACGGTTAGAAGAGAAAGTCAGGGAAGCAACACCAATATAAGTTAACACAGTTTCGTTAGAAAACAAGATCATCTCAACGTTCTAAAGTCTAACTTCTCCTAATCCATTTAATTCAGAAAACAAACCACATGGCAGTAATGGCTTCTCTCCTTCTTTATCCATTCCCACCTATTGCCCGTCATCGTTCTTTATGCATAATTTTTGTCTCCAAAACCATGTCACCATTCCCCTTCACCTTCTCTAATTCTTATACTCAGCTTTCAACAGTGTTAAACTCATCCGCACACATAATCTAACAACTTAATTCTTTTATCTTTGTACCAAAGTTAGCAGCCAACAAATCACACCTGTCCCTATCGAAGTCAAGGATGTATCTTGGACATCAAATAGATCAAAGAAAAAAGACGCACCACAAAACGCACAGACGCACAAACACAGATGCATGCGAATAATGGAATGCTCAAACCTCAACTCCTTTAATGTTGAATCCTCCCCAATCGACCTGGATGCATCCATCGAGACCTTTGGTGGAGGAAGTAGCCAATCATCTTCTTTATCATCAATATCGACCACCGCTACCACTTTCTCTTGATTACTACCATTCACAACCTAAACCACGTGATAATTTCAAAAATTTAGAAGCGGAAGCATTCATTCGAGGCAAATTAGATGAAGTTATAGGTAAAAGTTATATTACAGGCTCCGAAGTCTTCCTCTTTTTCCTAGCATAAATCACACCCTCCTCCTCCTCCTCGTCTGCCAGAAATACAGAATTCAAAAATTTACGATACCATGAAATACAAAATTCAAAAGATTCGAGCTTCAAAGGGTAAAACTACGTGCACAATAATAACTTCCTTTCGAAAATAGAGGAAATTAGTAGATAAGAAGGAAAAGGAACCTTCGAGGCACACAACATTAATAGGTTGCACGCGTCTGTAATCGAATAAGGGCTCCAGTTCTTCCTTAAATTCCGCCTACATTGACAAAAACCCAGGGTTCAAGAAAGAAGATTAAAGAAAAATTACCAAATTGATTAAACGATTCAAAATTGAAATGCATGAGAAAAGAGTGAAACCATCACAACGAGTTCCGTGAAGCTCCCTCCTCACTGTGTCTGGTTCTTTCGAATTATATTGAGCATTTTCACAATCCCGCGTCCCGCCTCAAACTCGAAATTGTGCTCGCCTGGTAGGCTTGTTGCAAACAATAAGAAACTGAGAACAATAATAATAATAATAATAATATATTATTTTATTTAAGGTTTAAGTTTGTTTTTTAAAATTATATAGTTTTAATAACAATGCTAGTTTTAAATGATAATTTTTGTCATTTATTGTTATTTTAAAAATTAAATTTAATATTTTAGTATTTGAAAATAGTTTTTCAACATTTAAAATTTTAACATTGATATTTTTATTAATAAAACTAATGGTATTAAATTTTAAGAAAAATTAATCTTTTAATCTTTCAATTTTTAATTTACTTGTAACTTAATCTTTTAATTATGACTCACTACAACTCGATCTTTAACTTTTGACTCATTTATTATTCAATCTCTTAACTTTTAACTCTTGTGTGACTTAATCCCTTAATTTTTGTTAGTTCTTTTTTTTCATGTTAGCTTAAATTTCACATCAAGGAGCAAGAGGAGGATATTTTAGAGTACAATAAGAATATTTCTTTTATCCCTCTTATTTAATGAGGGTAATTTTTAAAACAATTTAAAAAATAAGGACCGAGTTATGTGTGGGTCAAAAGTTGAAGGATTAAATTGCAGCAAATCATAGTTGAAAAAACTAAGTTACATGTGAGTTAAAAGTTGAAAGACTAAAAGATTAATTTTTAACTTTTGTTAGTTCTCTTTTTTCATGTTAACTTAAATTTCACATCAAGGAGCAAGAGGAGGGTATTTTACAGTAAAATAAGAATATTTCTTTTATCTCTCTTATTTAATGAGGATAATTTTTAAAACAATTTAAAAAATAAGAACCTAGTTATGCATGGGTCAAAAGTTGAAGAATTAAGTTGTAGTAAGTCATAGTTGAGGAGATTAAGTTATAAGTGAATTAAAGGTTGAAAGACTAAAAAATTAATTTTTTAAAAAATTTTATAAAGAAACTAATAATATTAAAGTTAAAAAAACTGAATAAATATTTTATAAAATTAAAGGAGTATAATAAATTGCTAAGTCATTAATGCTTATTGAAGATCATCTTTATATAACTTCATTAACAAATAATATAATCACCAAGTCATTGATACTTGTTAGTTATATAATGCAAAGTTTATATTTAAAATAAATTGAATTTTCAAATCAAGTTTGAGGTAATTCAATAAAACAACTTATTAACAATACATTTTATACATTTAATCTTATTGACTTGTTTGTCAAAAAAAAAATATCTTGTTAGAGCATAAAATTGAAAAAACTTGTTAAGAATATATTTTGTATATTTAATCTTGAAACTCATCTTGAATTAAAATGGTCTTTTGGGATATATTTGATATTTTTTAAAATTCAAGATCTTTTACAGTTTTATGAAAATTAGTTGAATCAAGAGTCGATCATATAACTGTCGATTTTGCTATTTTTTAATTTTTTTTAAAATTTTAATTCAAACTTATAAACATGCATGGAATATGTATATATGTATATATTTTAAAATTATGAATTATAAATCAATAATCGAGTATAAATATTTTGGATTAAAATGATGGAATATAAATCAATATTACCTTTTTATTTTATATCATTTTGTTTTAAATTTAACAATTCATTTTTATTATATATAATTATTTCCTTTTATTTTAAGCTTGTATTATTTTAAATATATTAATTTATTTATAATCAAATGATGATTCGACCATTGAATTGTGAACTAATTAAATGGTTTAATTACTTGTTAGATCTCAACATTGATCTTTTATATCCATGGCCCAAAAAATGAACAATTATACAATGAATTAAAAACTAGACTAAATCAACTATTGACTAATTAGGTTAATGGCTTGACTATCATGCAAAAACTATTTAAAAGGTTAGATCAAATTAAATCGTCCTAAATTGACTTTTAAATTAAAAACTAGGATCAAGCTTAGAACTTAATCCAGTTCTTAAAAGTTGAATAGCTCAAAAATGTCACTATTTTCTCCCTTTGAACCTTAAAAAACAATACTCCCACTCTCATTCCCCCAAACCTGGATGCGATTTTCCTTCTCCTCTCGTTTGCGTTCTTGTCACACATTACCTCAAGCCCCAATGGATCATCAGACCACTTCGTTCAGATTTAGATCGGAGCACCAAGCGTCCAAGCCATCAATGCACGGAGTTCGAGTTCATCCTTCCTCCTTTACCTTCGTCTTCCCATGACTCGTCGCTTGCCTCACGCCCTCACCAGTCACCTCTTCGATTGCCATCACCATCCCCTTCTTTGTGTTCTTTGCCTGATCTTCTCCTTCCTCGCCCTGCCTTCTCATCATTGCAAGTCTACAACTTCGTTCATCTTGTTTGTACTCCTTCATTGTGTCTCCTCTTCTGCCCTTCGCAACTCTCCTCTTCCAATAAGTTTCCTTATTTTTGATTTCTTAGATGTTAGAATCCTCATATAGGAAATTATCTTGATTTATATGCGATGGCCTTGGAGCTCTGTTTTAGACTTTCAGTGGCTTAGTTTGTGTCATGTAAGGTCTAGCTTAAGCTTCAATAATAGGATTTAAGGTGTTCAAAATCAATCCAAATCGATGACACCGAACTAAACCAAGGATACCAAACCAAACCGATATGAATCAATCAAAACTAATTAGAAATAAGGTTTGGTTTGATTTTTTTTTTTTCAACAAAATGGATTGATTTGGGTCAATTTAAGTTTTTGTTTCTTAAAACTTGAATCAAATCGAATCAAGCCTCATTATATTTATTTTATATATTTATTTAAATTTGTCTAAAATTTTTTCTCTTTGCTAAATTCAGTTATCTATAAATTGATGGTTAAAAATATTACAATTATTTAAATATTATCTAAATTTTTTATGATATTTTTTAAAGGCACTTATCTATAACTAGTTAAATATTGTCTGTAGTTAGAAAAAAGGAAAAATTATAGCCAAGGACTATTGGAGGAATCTATTTACAAATAAGTACTAAATAATTCTAAAATTATGCTGTAGGATCAAGAAACCAAAATGTAATGAATTTTTAATGTAAAAAGACAAAACTGCCTTTCAATTTTTTTTTTAAAAAAATTCCTCAACCACCAGCCACCGAAGCTCCGATGTCGGTGGCCAGACCACTTTACTGGACCGGCCGTTGAAGCTCCAATAGCAGTAGTCAAACCATCACCGGAGCTCTGGCACCGATCACCGGATCGACGAGTAAGGCAAACTTTTTTTTTTAAGGTGGCCAAGGTGGGGCTTGAACCTACATCCTCTTGGCCACCAAAAGGATTGTAATCCTTTCAATTATAAAATGCAAAATTATATTTATATACTTAACTCTATTTTCACTTTCCATGCTAACATTTATTAGGAGTTTAATAATTACTTGTCATTTTACAAATGACACTTGTTAAAAGTTTTAATATGCACTAATTTTTATAAATGCTTACTTGTTTTTATTATCAGGAATGACAAATTCCCATTAACAATGTAACAAATAACCATTTGTGAGATGACAAGTCCCGTTATTAGCTTTAAAAATTTCTTTTGATAATTTGATAAGTAAATTTTAATAAAATAACAAGTTCATAAAAGCTTTTGGCAGGTAAAATTTTAGTAATAAAAACAAGTAAACATTTATAAAAACTGCTCTATATTAAATTTCTTTGACAAGTCCCAATTGATAATTTAATAAATAACTATTTGTAAAATGATAAGTTCTGTTACTAGTTTTGAAAATTTCTCTTGATAATTTGACAAGAAAATTTTAGCAAAATAATAAGTTCCTAAGAGCTTTTGACATGTAAAATTTTAATAATAAAAAAGTAAATATTTATAAAAATCACTCAATATTAAATTTCTTTGGCAACTCCCTATTGATAATTTAATAAGTAACCATTTATAAAATGACAAGTCATGTTATCTTTTAAAATTTATTTTCACTTTTTATGCCAATACTTATCAAGAGCTTAATGATTACTTGTTATTTTATAAATGACTACTTGTTAAATTAAATAACGAGACTTGTCATGATAAATTAAGTAATAATGACAAGTCTTATGACAAGTCTCGTTACTTAATTTATTTTGTTAAAATTTTACATGTCGAAACTCATAGGAACTTGTTATTTTGCTAAAACTTTCTTGTTAAGATATTAAGAGAAATTTTTAAAGTTAGTAACAGGGCTTGTCATTTCACAAATGGTCACTTGTTAAATTATCAATGGAGATTTGTCAAAAAAATTTAATATGGAGTGATTTTTATAAATATTTACTTATTTTTATTACTAAAATTTTACATATCAAAAGCTCATAAGAACTTATTATTTCGCTAAAATTTTCTTATCAAATTACCAAGAGAAATTTTCAAAGCTAGTAATGGTACTTGGTATTTTACAAATGGAAACTTGTCAAAGAAATTTAATATGGAGTGGTTTTTATAAATTTTTTTTATTACAAAAATTTCACATGTCAAAAGCTCATAGAAACTTATTATTTTGCTAAAATTTTCTTATCAAGTTATCAAAAAAAAAATTTAAAGTTAGTAACAAGGCTTGTCATTTTATAAATGATCACTTGTTAAATTATTAATGGGAACTTGAAAAAAAAATTTAATATGGAGTTGTTTTTATAATTATTTACTTGTTTTTATTACTAAAATTTTACATGTCAAAAGTTTATATGAACTTGTTATTTTACTAAAATTTACTTATCAAATTATTAAGAGAAATTTTTAAAGCTAGTAATGGGACTTGTTATCTCATGAATGGTTATTTGTTAAATTGCTAATGGGAACTTGTCATTCCTGGTAATAAAAACAAGTAAACATTTATAAAAATCAGTGCGTATTAAATTTTTTAATAAGTCCTATTAGTAGTTTAATGAGTAGCTATTTACAAAATGATAAGTAACCATTGAGCTCCTGATAAATGTTAGTATGAAAAGTAAAAATAAAGTTAACTATATATATATATATATATATAAATCTTTGCATTATATAATTGAAAGGATTACAATCTTTTTGGTGACTAAGAGAATGTGGGTTCAAATCCCACCTTAGCCACATTAAAAAATAGTCTGTCTCCTTCATTGGTTTGATTATCGGTGTCGAAACTTCGATGGTGGTCCAGCTATTGCTACCGGAGCTTAGATTGCCTATCTGGCGGGGTGGTCCAGTCCCAGCGTTAGAGCTCTGACGGGCAATGGTTGAGGAGTTTTTTTTAAAAGAATTCAAGGGCAATTTTGACTTTTTACACTACAAATTAATTACGTTTTGATCCCTTGATACTACATCATGATTTTATAATTATTTGGTTCTTGTCAGTAAATAAATTCCTCCAACAATCCTTAGTTGTAATTTTCCCTAGAAAAATGCTATTATATATATTTAACAATAAAAAAGTTCTTGTTATTAGTATTTTTCAGACAATTAGAATAATTAACTTTGTTTTATATTTTTCTGCAAAAATGAACACTCAAATGTCGTCATAAATTCTTAATAAACATACTTTGATTAAGTGCCAACAAATTAAAATTATATAATTAAAAAAATGCTTGTAGTTTCATCAGTTTTGAATAATTAATGATTTGAAGTTGCACATATATGATCATTTTGCTATTAGTATTTTCATACTGTTAAAAATATTTAGAGGAAAATATAACAAAATCCTATTAATTATCAAGTGGGCATATAAACGTGCTCTGCAAGAAAAAAATAACATATTCATATTCAGTGAAAGTTATAAAAAAAAAAAGGAAAAAATCAAACAAATGCATTGAAACTTAATCTAAACATTAACCAATCAAAACCAAACTAGAAAAAAATCCAAACCAAACCAATTTTTCAAAAAACCAATCCAATCTTAATTATGAGTGAACTAATTGATTTGGTTAGGTCTAGTTTTTGCTCAAAATTAAATCAAACCGAGTCTATGAACACCTAAGGTTCTAATCATGGTAGATCAATTCTCACCCTTCTCAATCGGTTTGCTTCAATGACTTTTTTTAATAAAAGAAAAAGAAGAGACAAGTTAAAATACTAAGTTTTTGTGTAGCCTTTGTCTTTCCAGGGGGAGGTTGCCAACAGATAAGAGATGTATGCTTTTACTTTTTAAGTTCTAATAGCTTGTTTAATTTATTGTAATCTCCTAGTGATGCTGTACGAGAGTGCTTAATCCTTACAAAAACATTGGTTTATTTTTCTTATTTCTTATATTTATATTATTATATATATATATATATATAATTTTTTTAATTTAATTATTATATTATCGATTTGATCATTAATTTAATTTAACTTTTTTAATTTAATTATTATATTATCAATTCGATCATTAATTTAATTTAACTAGATGATGTGAACTGTGAATTATTAACTTTTTTAATTTAATTTTAAAAACATTGCAAATATGTAAGAAATATGCATAGAATATGTATATATTTAAAAATTATAAATTATGAATCAATTATATATATATATATATATATATATGTTGGATTAAAAATGATGGAATAGAAGGGAACATTACCTTTTTTTTATTTTATTTTTGTTTTAAATTTAAAAATTCATTTTTATTATTACATATTACTATTTCTTTTTTATTTTAAACATTTGTTATTTAAAATATATTAATTAGTGGAACTACGGTACAGATCATAGTGAACCAGACGGTTTAATTGATTCTGCCTCTGTAATCTTACCGTTTCTACCGTTTTTGGTGATCTGGGAATTCCAGTGTGCGATCAATTTGCTGCCTTTTAACACTTTTCACCGAGGTATGAACAAATTGGGGTACATGAGAGAAATAAATGTAGAGATTGAATGCCTTAGTTGAGAGAATCGCTCGAAAAGAAGCTTCACCAGCATGTATGGGTTTGAGGCGATAAGTCCATTGCGGAGGCGATGCAACTGGAACTGAAATACCAGAATCGAATAGTCTAGAACTCAGAAGAAGGCAGTCTTTGTGGTTCGAAGCAGGACATAATTCGCTCCATATTTTCTTCCAAGTTGGAAGTCCTTAGAGAAGTCGCGTCTTCGACTCTCGGTCAAATTGGAAGATCGGAAGCTTGGAGTGTCTGGAGTGAAGAGAAGTGTGGAATCCAAGCTAAAGAATATGGAAGCTCGAAGTGTGCAGAATCCATGGGCTAGTCCGTATAATTCGTTATTTTGGCGGGCTGAGCTAACCCAGCCGGATTTGAAAATGGTTCAATTTTTCCAGCTTCTGCTTGTCAAATTTGAGACAAGCCCCCTTTTCGACTGTACTCATTTAAAACTTTATCAAATATTGAAATTTAACTACATTTTAATCTTTAACAACAGGGATACTTTGAATGACAGGGAGATCGGGGAGGAACAAGTGGATGGGAGCAAGTGCTTTCAAACCCAACAGCACAAATTAAACCTACTTGCCCACCACCATTGTCAAACAAATGAGAAGGATTGAAGTATGAAGAAGGAATGAGGGGAGAACAAGGGAAAGGTGTAAAGCTAAAAGTGTTAATTATTTTCCTTGTTTTGTAACTTTTCCAATTTTGAGTTATCAAGGGCATTTTGGTAATCACGATATTTTGAGGGAAAAATACTTTTGTATTCAAATTTTGCAAAAAACTTGCTGGGGAAGAAAAAAAATCTTTAGATGAAGCTTTTACAATGTCTTGTGCATTTTCATGAAAAGAAAGTATATTTTAAGAAATCTTGATCAATATAACATGGCACATCCATGTTCTACATTTACTGCCAAATGTGCAGCCTCAGTCTTGTATTGAAGCACCACCTGTAAAAAGTGATTCAATGAATAGAATCCTGCAAAATTTCCATACCATTAGTGATCTTAACTTTGGCTCACCTTTTTCCTTGTCTTCACTTTTAGTTAATCCTTTTGAATGGAAATTTCAACTTTTTCTTAAACCATTAAATGCTCACCAAAGTTCTTCACTCTGTTTTATGCAAAACTTACAAATTCTCCTTTGACTTTCTCTCTTTACTTAAGGCTTATGGGCTTGACCATTCTCTTGCTTCTTCTCATTTCATTTTCATCTTCTGCTTCTATGTTCTTTGTATCTTCTGGTTCACTTCTCCTTTAAATCCTGAAAATTATGGAAGATAGTGATTTCTTATCGATTAGTTCCATTCCCAGTTTTGCTCGAGGACTTAAGATTTTGCTGGTTCATAATGATTCCTTGTCCATCGTCAGCTTGTCCTCTATGCTTGAGAAATACTCATTCAGAGGTATGGAGACATGCATTCGAATCTGTTTTAGTTTAAAATTCTTTCACGTTGTATCTTATTCAAATGAATCAGGTACACAAAAGAGAAAAAATGATATGCTAACAGATGAGCAAACCACAAAGGTAAAATAAAAACCAACAAAAAGGTTTGGCCTGCTATGAACATGAGTGTATTGGTTCTCATCATATCATGTATTTGTTATGAATACACGTATTTTTTATAAGTACCGGTGCATTATACCCAGAGATTAAACCTACCTGGTATTGGAAAAAGGACCATTTATGAACTACATGACTTTTAGATGAACAAAGAACTAAGAAACGATCCTTTAAGGCATATGTTCTTTGATTTTATATCTATGCTCCTCATATTTTTATTTTTTTGAAAGAATATATATTTATAACTGGGAGAAGTTTGTACTTAAATTGCTGTGAAATATAACTGCTTCATTATACTTGCATATATTCATTATATATGTCTTACTTTAAGGCTCATTAATAAAAAAAGGGAAAATATCAGACCCCTGAAAGAATTTAATATCTAACAAGGACTTGGATAGATTGGATACTTGACAATAACTTCACTTGTTATTTGTTAATGGTTACTTGTTCAAAATCCTTGTCAGATATTAAATTCTTTCAGAAATCCTCCATTGATATTCTGCCTAAAAAAATGAACAGATAGGCCTCTCTCTCCAATTGCTTTTGTATGAGTTTGCTGGGTTCTACCAAATATCTAGGATACCATCCCAATATTGCAGCTGAACTCCTGGGTATTCTTGAGGACCTCAGCCTATGTTGGAATGAAAAATGCTCCCAAGTTAATGTCATCTACAACTCAATGGAGGCAGTCACACTCATTCAATATGACCATTTCCAAGATCACCCCTATCAAAAAGATCAGAGACTTTATCATGCAAATTTGGATCATCACATTCAGTTACGTTTTCAAAGAAGCTAAAACTGTGCAGATTGATTTGCTCACCAGGCATGCTGTAACAGTAGGGACTTTTTGTTATCTGATCTTAACTAGTGTTGCTTTCTCTTGCACGTTATTAACTGTGGCCTTGTAATTTGGGGAAAAAATCATTAGCTAGATTTGTTCTATCAAAAAGAAAAGTGAATGAAGTCAAAACAAATCTCATCAAAAAGTGCGTATACAATTAGTTTGATTTGCCAACCTTTCATTGATATCACCTAAGAGTTTTTCTTGTTAAGTTGCAAATGAAATTATTTATTATACAATATCCTGAGACACACCAATTCAATGAAGAAATCAAGATACATTGAGAATTGAAAGCTATTGATGTTCAGAAACATCTCTTACTAATGTTCTCCTTGCATGATTTATGTATCTGTGAGCAATATATAACTGTGATAGGATTGATTATTCAGTTACTGTTACTGATGAGGCAAAAGCGGCTGTGTCCATGATCTGTCATTCTGAAGAAAGCCAATTCAACCTGGTAATGGCTAAAGCTAACATGCCTGACATGGATACCCTTTCATTTCTGGACTTCATGCTTGAAAAGTACGTCCCTGTCATCTGTAAGTTCCACACTCAGATTTTTACATTGACTCAAGTCATTTGATACGAGGAAATGAAATGAAAAAAAAAGAAGGTAATTTTATACCTCCTCTGGTCCTTATTATAAGGCACCTCAAATTACTTTACTAGAACTAATGAGAAGTGGTTAAATCATTAACTTTGTTTGAAAATAAAATAAACTTCCAATTTTACCCTATTTAAAGGAAAAATTTCAAATTTGCATGATATTCTTTCTTAGTTGATGAGTATAAATAGGGCTAATATCAAAAAAATGTAATTAATATCCCATCAAGTGTCTTATATTAAGAACCAAATAATTTTTTTAGAAAATGCCCTATAATAGGGACCGAGGGGAGTATATGAAGAGTGACTCTTGTGTTTCTTAACGAAAAAAGTAAGATAAACGAATGAGTAATAATAAAAAGGATATAATGGACACTGTGTATGTCTCTTTATACGCTATTAACATGATATTTCTTTCAATTATTGATGCCAAACAGGCTTAGTTTCATTTAATTATCTTTTTTCCATGTCCAGTCATCTCTTCTGGAGAATATAAGGATGATGTAACATGGAAAGCATTGGCTAACGGCTCATGTTATTTCTTGGAAGAACCAGTCCTTTTACAGGATCTTAAATATGTGTGGCAGCATGTTTATCACACACAAGTCAACTTGGCCAACAGAACTCAAGAAGAAAATTGTGCAAACGAGGTATGTTGCAAATTTGTAGAGGTATCATGGCCAAACGCTGAAAATAAGATGAACATGGATTCAGATAAAGAGAATTGGTCAAGTATCAATGAGGGCTGAATCTATTTGTAGAAATAAGACACCTTGATTAAGAGGTTTTTTTTATCATTTCCAGCTGATGATTCCTTGTTGGTAGGGCATCTACCAACTATAAATTACTCTGCCTTGGGACTAGAACAACATATCTCACTCCTAAGTTTTACTTGAACAACTTTTGTAACGTTTTGCAGGTTCATGGAACTCTTGATGATAGAAAATGTATGGAAAAAGAGAAGAGAAAAAGGTTCCATATGAATTTTGACAGCAATCACCTCACTGCTTTTATGGAGGAGGAGGAAGAGGAGGATACAGAAAGAGAACAAAACTATGATGAACATCCTGAGAAAAGGCCCCGTATTGTTTGGACTCCTGAGTTGCATCAGAAGTTCTTGGATGCCATTAATGTTTTGAGTGACGGGAGTAAAGTTTCTTTTTCTCCTATAATCTATGGATTTCATTTGCTCTCTTTAAATTTCTACAAATAATGACCTCTTATGGATTATGCTTCATTTTTTCCAATTCTCACTAATGTCAATGCTTGGTTTTGTTTTGTATGAAGATAATATTCGTCCAAAAGCTATACTTGAACAGATGAATGTGCCTAACCTCACAGCTCGCCAAATTTCAAGTCATCTTCAGGTTCTAATCTGTCACTTTAGCTTGCAAAGGCTATAAAATAGATTCTCAACATTTACTTCTCCCTTAGCATGTCTTATTATCTTTGGACAAATGATAGTGGAAGGGAGGGAAATGCATTTCCCTCAGTTTAGGACTTATTAATAAGAAGAGAGGGAATAAATGTTTTCAACTAACTTCAGAAGGTCCTCTTGTATATTTTGAAGAAAAATGTTCCTCTAGAGAATGAGAAGAAAATATATCATTTAATTATCCCTTCTCTTCTTTTCTCTTTGTACTTCCATTTTCTCATTCAAACAAACCCTTGTGCTTGCACAAATCAATATTTGAGTCTAACTTAATCATTTTAAAGCATAACACTTGCTATCTTTTGATTATGATTTTCGGTTTTTACTACTGCTATCTTTTTAATCTGTACTGTTCTTCTCTTTTTGATTTCCTCCTAAAGGGTTTTTTTGGTGCTGTTTGGTAAATTTGCGGAGGTGTCCTTAATAGTAATAGTTTATTTTGCTACATTTAATGCCAAGAAGTAATAGTTTATTTTGCTACCTTTAATGCCAAGAACTAATGCATTGTGGTTCTTCAAATCTGCAAATCATATAGGAATACTGTTGCTACAGATAATTGCCAAAAGATTTTATTTTCATTAAGTTTGCTCATAAATTTCACTGAATAGAGAAGTCTCTAGCATATAATGATGAGATCTGCAGGCAAATCACAGTAATAGCTCAGGCACTAATATGAAAATCACAGTAAACAATAATTCAAACCGAGATTGTAAAATTAAATATGATGTTGAAACTGAAAACTACCAATATGTCATGACTTGATTTTCTCCATTTTCATGTCCCTATTGGTGCATTCTTGTTTTAATGCTAATGCTTCGTTCACAGAAATACAGAACTCAAGAATTGATAAACCAGCAGGCTTGCATGTCTGGATTCGCTCCAATGAGAAAATTTTCAAACCTTGATATTAGATCCCAGTCTTCCTCACCATTTCAGAGCCAAAGTTATCCAGGTGAGTGAAAATGTTCAGGTCAAAGCTTAAGCATATTTGATATTCATTAACATAATGTGAACTTCTTTGTCTTTTTGTTGGTTTTCAAATCACAGTTTACTATGACTATGCACCCACACACGCACGAAAATACTTCCATTGTAACATGTAGATTAACATTCTCCAAGGAAAAAAAAAACATAATTTAAATCGTCTACACTTAAAGTACTTAAGTAAAAAAGAGATAGTGATACAGAAATGAAAGAGTTTATGGGGCTTACTTACTCTCTTAGCTTGTTCGCCTACTTCCTTCTCTTTCTCTTCCGTAGCTATCTTATCCAGTTTTATCGAGTCAAGTTGAAGTATTGACGAGCCCCATTAGGGATTAGTACTTTCAATAAGTCTTCCTCAAGCTTCTAACTTGAGAAGATTAAAAAAAAAAAAAAGGTTAAGGTATAACAACTAAGGAATAGCAAAAATTGCTTCAGGTTTTCCTATATCAATTGCAGCCCTTAGTGGGCGCCAAAATCAAAACCAGTGTTCAATGATTTTCATTGAAACTCAAGAATCTGACATGGCACAAATGGAAGAACCCGCGCCAATTCAAGATAAATTTCCAGCAGCATTGAGCAATTATGGAAGCCAAAACCTAGAAGCTGAAGTGGGACAACCTCTACCAGATGCTTCAATGGACCAAAACCAACCCATGACAGATGGTACTTTGACTATACTTGAGGAAGATTGTGAAGAACATGACTATTCTCAAAATGGAGTACTTCCAGATCAAATTGATCAATACTGTGAGATGCTAAGGAACACTCTTCTAAGAAATAATAATAGCACTCATCTTCAAGACCCTGATGTCTGAATTCCCAGCAGATCATAAGGTCATCCTCAGTTCGTTTACCAGATTCCCACATGCTCGTTTTCACTTATTTCACCATTTGATATGTATCTGCTCATCATCATTATAATTATTACTATTTGTCACTCCCTTTAGTCCTTATTGTAAGTTACTTGTAACTACTTCACAAGGTTTTTTTTTTTTTTAAAAAAAATAGTTACATCATTGAAATTGTCTCTTTGATTTCCTTTTTACTCCTAATAAAAACCATGAATTTAAAAAACAAACATTCTCTATATCCTCATTGGAAATTGAAAAAAAGGGCAAAGTTGAAATAAAATTATTAGTACTACACAAGCTTTTGTAAAGCGATTTATATTTAGGATCACAAAATTCTATAGGACCGGAAGAGTATTTTTTTTTTTTTTTAAGGAACTACGAGATGCTAAATTTCTTGCAAACCTTTTGTTTAGGGTTGGTTGCAGTCTGAATCTTCACAGTTGAAGCATAGCAGGAGCATCTCTATTTGAAGCTATAATCATCTGTGAGTATATTTCATTATATATGTTGTATACTTATCTTCAAGTACGAATTCTGCAAGGGATGGCTGAAAGGAATGTGAAGGTTCTTTAATATGTTAATCTTGCCATGTGATATTAGATCATTGCAAGAAAAGTCAGTTGAAGCATACAGAATTTATATGGTACCTTCACAATCGTGCTAGATGAAGCCAAAGCGTCATAAGGTTTATAGTATGAACAAAGTTGATAGTTAAATAGGACCTTTTGGTCTTTTTAGGTGAGACACAAATATTATAAATGTTGTAATAATGTGATGCTTCTCAATGTTGTCAAAACTAAATTGGGCATTGAATTGGTCAGGATATTAATTCATTGGACTGCGGTCAAATCATGGTTTGACTGGTCTCACTTAAAATAATAAAATTTAAAAATTATGTATTAAAAATAAAAATATTTTAGACAATGTTTAACCATATCCTTATCAAGTTATCATACGTGTCAAATTTATAGCAAATTACACCAGCATTATAATAAAACTACTTATTGTCGGGAATGAATTTCCTACAGTAAAAAACCCTGCAATGCTTGGGAAGTGAGTAATTCCCACCATGTGTTTTATGTGATGGCTAGAAAGAGAAAGGTACATAATAAGGCTTATTACATGCAAAACATTTAATCACGTTTCATCTACGATGATGTATAAAAATTCATAAAAATAATTTTTTTAATAAATGTGTTTTATTACTAATTTGAATAGTCTATATTTGATAATTTTTTTTTTGAAAAGTGCCAATTAGGATATTATCTTTAGTTGTTATATTGTATTTGATAAAATAAAATTTACAAAATTATAAAATAATATTAAATTTGAATTATCTAAAGTACATCTAAATAATTAATTTTAAAAAATTAATAATAAATTGGACTGACCAAATTAAATTTGTATAGTACAAATTAGTAATTAACATATTTATTAAATTTTTTTAATAAACATAATTGTGTAACTTGTATATAATATGTATTTTTATACACCTCTCTTTTTTAAGCCATTAAATAAAAAGCAGGGTGAGGATTACTCAATTTCCAACCACTGCCCGGTTTTCCACTGCTGGAAATCCATTCCCCTTATTGTCGGTTAAGAATAACCAAAATCATCAAGTATGTCACATTAATTGTCTAATCAAATGAACAAAAGCTTTTATTATTAACTAAAATCACTAATGAATTATCAATTATCAAATATATATCAACCAACCACAAGACAAATAAAAAACATAAAATCAAGACAAATAAAACACAAAATATCATAATTTTGTATTATCAAGATATACCAATTTCACCCTCCATCAATAAATTAATTGTCTTAAAATCTTTATACAAATAATAACACACCAATTTCAATCCTTTCACAAAGTTCAAGTGCAGAAATCTGCAATGAAATTCACAAACCCTATAATTTTTTACCGACTATGCACATCTGATCTATGACTCTCCACTGCACTCGGAGACTACAGTCCTTGTCTCCTTGCATTTTGTGATACATCAAATATAGGAGTTGAATTGAATCCCAGTTATTGCCTCGAGTAATATTCCCATCATGTAGAGGTGGAATGCTTACCGTATGAATCGCACCAGTTTGTGGGCTAATACTGTTATTGTCCGTAGATGAGACTTGAACACCATTTTGAGATTCAGCCAACATCTGAAAAACATGCGCAAGGGCCCCAACATAGTACATAGTTATATGAAAATGATACACATAAGAAAGTCCTTCGCGAATGTTTCAAAAGCTTGACCCTCAGATAAGACAGAGAGCCTGTTTGGTTTCAGGTTGGAATTCCAACCATCAAAACCATGGTCTCCAACATGAAACCAAACACACACACAGTGGAGTAGAGGAGTATAAACACAGTTTTAGCAACTAGCAAGGATTTTATACAAAACTCTAACTTGCATAATATTGAGTAACAACATTTATGAACACTGAACTTGAGTTGATGGAATGTTTTAAACATGCCCTGATATGAGCAACATACCACTTTTTTTCTAATCTTTTGGCACAATCATTAAGCTAAATGCCTTAATAAAAGCCAAATAGACTAAATGTACCATTAACAGGACCATGCAAAAAAATGCCAACCTACAGCATAATCAAGCTCAAAGAAAAATGTCCAGATGCAAAACATATGCTAATCACATCAGTCCTTTAAAGTTTCAGCACTCCAAGTAATTAGATATAACAAGCAAACAAGGAATCCGCTTTCGGTGCAACAAAGTGTGTTCTTCAAACTTGAACTGATATTGCTACTTATATAGTTTTATACAACAATACAAACATAATAAAAAAGGTTATAAATGCCAGGAGAGGACTATAAGGTGTGAACCAATCAAGGTAATCCAATATCACTAACACATTTGAAAGCAAAAATCACAAAGCAGCTCCTCCATATCTTAAAGATGACGCTAGAGGCAATCTCCATGATAATTAATTGAATGAAAATTTAGAGAAAACATTCAAAAATATCAGCCTATCGATATCACATTTACTTGGTTGTATTAAAGCCTTTAGCTTTGTCAAGGGACAATGATTATTTCAACTTAAAAGCTTAAGTTGTTAAATGAGAGCTCATAATTTTTTTTTTTTAATTAAATGTGGACAAAGGATGTGTCATCATAAATCGTATTAAAATTTTAATTTAAAACAGAAAGAACGGGAGGAACAATGAATGAACTCTTGACAATAGAGGCTTCAAGACCATTTTAGGATCATTTCAAGCCAAGGCTTAAGCGATTAAGCAAAGTTTCATGAATGGTTTTTATTAATATCTCTTAACAAGTTGAAGCATGATTAACATATTTCTTTGAAGCACACCTTTAACATAATCAACCAAAGTACAATGGTAATTTTGAGGTAGTGGTTAGCTTATTTTGAGGTAGCTCTGGAAGCTTGTGCCTTATTTTTATTTTTCTAGGGAGCAGACTCTCCAATGGTAATTTGAGTTATGACAGTCTGATCTAATTATTAACCAAAGTAACTTCACCCTCCACCTGATAATCCATGTCAGATCCAGAACTTGAAGAACTTGATAATATTATTGAGACACTAAGAAATTTAAGCATACAATTGCAAAATACATAAATACCAGTACAGAAAACTGGGGAAAACTAGGAGGCAACAGGATCCATAAAGAAAATGAAGATCTGAGGTTTCAAACAATGTAACAGGAAAACCAAACTTGGCCAAATTGCAGATAGGCTCACCAGAGTGCTTACATGAGGAATGTCCACTAAGGAAGCCCTTCCTTGATAACACTCTTATCTCCAGTGCACCTAACGTCACTTGTTATTGGATCAAACACCCAAACATGTCATGTGCAAATGCCATGTTAACTGTGCATATAACTTAGCTAAAGCAATGTGCATCACATGCCAATAAAATTATTTTTATACTCCAACATGGTTAGTTGATAAAATAAAGAATCCACCCCTTTGCCATCAGGAAAACATCACCAAAAGAAGTCAGGGCATGGCCATCCATCCAACACATAAGGGATTTGAGATTTGAGAGATATTTATACATTTTATGGGACCTTATTATATTTACATTTCTTCTCAGGGACTTCAGTGTGATTCTTCCATCTTTTCTTATGCAGTAATCCAACTACAACCTGGGCTTTTCTTAATACCTTTTAAGTTCTTGGTGACTCTGACTTGGTTCCCCTCAACCCCTTTCCCAGAAAGAGAATACAAGTTGGACATCACTACAAAAGGATTTGCATTAGAAGGTTCCATTTCAATAATAGATTGTGCTGCCAGCTTAGCAATGTCAAGACGCGAATGGGTCTTGCTTGCCCCAAGAACAGCGCCCCAAACTCCAGAATGAGGTTTCACTGGCATTGACCTTATCAGATCAACTGCTTCATCTAGCAATCCTGCACGGCTGAGGAGATCCACCATGCACGCATAGTGATCAGGTCCTGGCTCAATTCCATATTCAGATTTCATGGAGTTGAAGTAGTTCCATCCTTCTTGTACCAGTCCTGCATGAGTGCAGGCTGAGAGAACAGCAAGAAAAGTAACATGATTGGGTTTGGGGCCTTCACATTGCATTTTCTTGTAGATTTTAATGGCTTTTTCACCAAAGCCATTTTGGGCAAATCCATTAATGATTGAGTTGAAAGAAACGATGTTTGGTTCAATGATTTCTATGAAGATCCTGTGGGCAGCACTGACATTCCCACATTTGGAATACATTGATACAAGAGAATTTTGTACAGATAAATCATGTTCTAGGTTCATCTTCAAAACATTAGTGTGAATTTGCAGCCCTTGATTAAGTATCACCACAGCAGCTGAAGCTGCTAGAACACTGCTCAGTGTTAAAGGATTAGGTCTGTACCCTTCTCGAAGCATCTGAACATACCAATGCAAAGCTTCCTCATATTGTGCATTCTTCACAAATCCAGAAATAATGGCTGTCCAGACAATATCATCTTTCTCTGGTGACATTTCAAATAGCTCAATGGCCTTTTTAACTCTTCCATTATTACAGAATCCAGTGATCATGGCTGTCCAAGAAATCAAGTCTTTAAATGGCATATTCAAGAAAAGCCTGTAAGCCGCTTCTGCTTCATTATTGTGAACATAACCAGAGATTAAGGAATTCCAAGAAACTAAGTCCTTTTTGCTTATGGAGCTGAATATTCTGTTTGCCATGTTCATACAACCCAAATTGCAATACATAGTTACTATGGTATTACCCAGAACATCATCAAGCTCAAATCCCATATGCGAAACCAACCCATGTATTTGCATTCCCTCTCGAATCCTACCACAGGTACCACAAGCTTTCAACATTATAGTCATGGTTGTGGAATTAACTTCCACCCGATTTTCCCTCCTCATATTTAAAAACAAATCAAACCCATCTATAAAGCATCCCTTTTTTATATACCCATCTATCATTGCACTCCAAGAAACCACATTTCTCTCAGGCATTCTATCAAACAAGTTTCTAGCGTCAGCAATCCTTCCATCCCTGCACAAACCATCCATCATAGAAGTCCAAGAAAACACGTCTCTCTCTGTCATGCCCTCAAAAACCCGTAACGCCACATTTATTCTATCTGTCTTCAAAAGCCCAACAATAAGTGCATTTGAACAAGCTGGATCCCGCAATTCTAACGGGGCCTCAAAGTACAATTTTTCAGCTTCGGGAAGCATTCCTGCACGAACAAAACCAGTAATCATAGCAGCATACGAGATAGCATTGCGTTCATGCATCATAGAGAACAACCTATAAGCTTCATCAATGTTACATCCATTACGTATATAAGCAGATATCATAGCATTGTAGGATGCAGTGGTTCGTTCGGGCATTTCTTCAAACGTTCTGCGGGCAGCTGCAATTTGGCCATTTTCAGCGTAAGCAGTGAGCATAGCAGTCCAAGAGATAGTGCTCTTCCTGGGCATCCTTGAAAATATTGACTCTGCCTCCTTGATATTACCGTTTCTACTATTTTTGGTGATCTGGGAATTCCAGTATGCAATCAATTTGCTACCTTTAACCTTTTTCGCAGAGGTATGAACAGATTGGAAGATCTGAGGGAAATAAATCATAGGAATTGAATGCTTTAGTTGAGAGAATCGCTCGAAAAGAAGCTTCACCAGCATGTCTGGGTTTGAGGCAATAAATCCATTGCCAAGGAGATACAGATGGAACTGAAATACCAGGGTTGAATACTTGAATGTCTAGAACTCAGAAGAAGGCAGGCTTTGTGGTTCGAATACCGTTACTATTTCTACATCTTCTCACTGTGACCCAATTAGACAAGTGTTAGCTTCCCACCGCAAGAAATCCCTTCAATCCATTCCTGTCCTGGAAAGGCAGAAACCAACTTTAAAAGTTCGAAACATAATCATAAATAAATAAATATATATATAGGCCTGAATTAAAGAATAGTAGAAAAATTTCGAATGGAAGATTGAATTATGCCTGAATGAACAATTGAATATGAAGTTTCTTTTGCTTTATACGTCTTGTAAGAGGACAGTTCCCAGTTCAAATAGAAGTATCAGTGGACGGTTGTTGAAGCTGATGCATTGCAAGAGGACGCTTCTAAAGTACATATAATTGGTCACCTTTTATGGTAAAGGAATTGTTAAAGCTTGAAGTGTCTGGAGTGAAGAGAAGTGTGGAGTTGGAGCTGAAGAAGATGAAAAGCTTGAAGGGTGCGGAAGCCAGTCGATGGAGTGAGAAGTGGTGGAGGCCGAGGGAGAATTGGGGATTGGGCTTCGTCTTCGCACAGAATTCGCATTACTTTATAATTGGTCACCTTTTATTTTCCCATTACTCTGGCAGAGTTGTTTCTCAGAAAGCACCAAGAGCGAAAACGAAGTGGGCTTTTAGATATAGGAAATTCATATAATCCAATTGAATATGCAAAAGCCAAAATCAAAGCCTCCATAGAAACCAAGACGAAGCCAAACGGGATGGCACCGGACATGACGAAAATGATAAACTTCTACAGGATTGTCGACCAGAAGAGATTGTTGGTAAGGGTGCTTCAAAAGTATTTCCAGGTTGCCTCAATCGAAAATAACAACTGTGAAGAAAATATTGGGCCGTAGGATACATAGTTAGTCTGCCCTTTCCTTGTATTACTCTTTTTTGTTTTTTGTCATTCTGTTTATCTCTTTCTCTTTGTTTGTGTTACTTGCTTGGGCTATATATATACATATATATATCTCTGGTCCATCTGATTGTAAGATTGAGGTTGTTAATAATAATAATGAGTATTATTCAGTTAGCACGTTTTGCTCAATAGATGGCTACTTAGTAACATAGAGAAGAAAGTAAGAAGATACTCACAGCCATTAGAGACAAGGACGACTGGGCAACACAGGCGTGCTCGACAAAGCAGGCGTGCACAATGGCGACATTGTTAGAACTAAGCTCTCACTGTAGTTAGCTGTTACTTACTGTTGTAGCCACGTGTTTAAGTTGTAACTTAGATCAGCTGTAACAATATTTGCCCACTTGATGTACCATATACATCTATAAATAAGATGCTCTACACTTAGTGAAGTTAAGTCACCGAGTCTTCTCTCTCATATCATTCTAAAATTTCATTAGTTCGTGAGACAGCGCGGGATGTGGACTGTGAGCATGAAGTTTTCATGGTTTGCGTCAACGGCTAGCTTGTTTTAAAAGAGGGCACTGATAAAATCGAAAGTGGTTTTAAGACTTCTAAGGGCTTGACTGGTTAAAGCTTTCAAAATATTATTTGATGAAAGTTCATTTACAAAAATTAATTTAATAAAAGTTAGTTATTTTTTTTGGTATAGTAAAAAAAAAGTTAGTTATTGTTGTAACAAGATTTGTGTTTAAACTTTAAATATGGCTTGGATCACTAATGCATTGTTCCCCCCCCTAAATAGAAGGACACGGATAAACTTTGTAAATAAACATTTTATGTTATGTCAGTGTATAAAAGGTTTTTACAACTAAGTGACGGAATATAAAAAATATGAACATTTAAATTATTGATAGAAGCTTGGTGAGCCATCTAATTTGCACATTTATTTGCCTTCCTAAAGATGTGATCAAAAGTAACCGTCTAGTCTTTTATAATGAGTTATTTGATTTTGTTGATAGTTGCAGCTAGAAAATAATTTGCAGAGAACTCATTGCGTATTAGCGTGAGAGTTTCTATAGAGTTAAAGTAGACATTACCTTTGTCAAACTTTCAAGTCCAACAAATGTTAAATCCTTTCAAGCTGCCTATAAGTTCAGCTGTCGTACAAAAGTAATATCTAGATTCGAAGGAGCTTTTGATTCAATTGCCTTAATCATTTCAGATGAGACCGTCATAAGCAGCTGTACCTGGATTGTCAATGGAGTTATCTATATCAAGCCTAACCCATCCTTCTTCAAAGGAAAACTATTTTGCTTTTGATCTATCATCCTGTTGAGTCAAAAAGTTGATTTTTAAGTAATCAATGAGAATATCCTAAATAGTAGTAAAAGCAATGTCTTGGTCAAGTATATTTTCTTTGGAATACATGTTTTTGTATCTTTCTTTACAAATGTTCCAACATATATGAGTGAAAAGTTTTTGCCCAAACGTATTTCTTACACTTGCATTACCTGCATCTTTCTGCACATTCCAAGTATCCAATCATATAAAGGGAGAGAAAAAAGTGATTAGTTTAGATTGTTCAACTAATTTTAGCCAAACCTCTTTAAATTTCTTGCAATCTCTCAAGATATGAGCGATTGAGTCCAAAGAGTTACAGTCAAAAGAGCATGTTCCAAGACAAAGATTGGCTCCATTAGAGTAGGTGGATTTAGGTTGGAGATAATCCCAAGCCACCTTCCAAAGGAAGGATTTAATCTTCTCATATGTTAGCTACTTTCAAATCTTAGACCAAGTCTCAGAGCTAGTCATGTCACAATGATTATCTCACTAAGGCATTGTTAACTAATTGATAGTTTCAAAAAATATTAGTTGAAATTTTAATTTCTTAAAAAATATATAACTTTTCAATTATACTCTTATTAAATATAATATATAAATGTAATTGATAATAATAATTGAAATTCAAATGCGTCATTATTTTTCGAAAAGAGTATTAATGAAATAGGAATATAGTTAAAAAAAATTATAAAAGTTACTCAATAATATATATTTTGAACTAAGCAAGATTTTTAAAAAATCTCTTATATTAGAGTCTGAATATAGTATATTTTTTTAAAAATTAATTTGATAAACTGAAAGTTATTTGAATAATATACAATGAAATGCACTTTTAAATATATAATTATTGAAACAGCATGGATTTTATGATACATAACTTTTATTATGTAAAACTTGATTTGTCAAAAAAAATATATGAATAATATAAAATTGGATATGGTAAATAATATATATAATAAAAGACTGTATAAATAATATAAAATTTAAATTATAATAAGATCAAAATTAATTGTGAAATGACAAGGTCAGGTTTATAATATATCAATTATTGAACACTTCTATAATCATCTCCTTCAAAAAAAAAAAAAGTGTAAAAGTCCTAAAAAAAGAAGAAGTCCTACTATACTATTTGTACAGTTAGCATGAAGAAGACGAGCTAGAAGAAAGATTATGTTCAACAATGGAAAGAAATATAATTGACTACAAGAGGGGTAATATGTATAGTTAATAAATTAAGTACACTGATCATGGAAATTGAAAGGTAGAAGTTACTCCCAGCATTAGGTGAAATGAGGCCCAACAATATAAGCTTAGGTTTAGGCTAAATCAAGGAGGTTGGACTTATTGAAGCCAACAAAAACAACATCTTTTCAATTTTATCAGTCTATCAAAAATCTTTTCAAAGAGCCTGCTTGAAAATGAGTATTCAATTTGAATGCTCATTCCCAACACTGTATAATGTCTTCTACAATTCCATAGAAGTAGGTATTCATGCTTCAATATGGTCTTCTCAAAACTATCCAATCAAAAAGATTAGAGACTTTATTATATGTAATTGGATTATCACATTCAATCACATTTTTAAAGAAGCCAAAGTTATAAGGAATAGCTTGTTCATTGTGTGAGCCTTGATAATTGAGATGCTAGGATTCTCAATTACTCTTTAGGATAGAGGGATTTTTGTTATTTGATGCTTTTGGGCAAAAATAAGGGGAAAATTAATATAATTTTTACATTTTTATTATTTTTATGAAAATTTTGTGTGTATAAAAGTTATTTAGAATATATAAGAGAAAATGATATTAAAATCCCTTTGAATTATCTAAATAATATTTTGATTTCTCAAAATGTCATAATTTCTCTGAAGTCCCTAAGGATTTTGCTATCATTAAAGAATTAATGTAAGAAACCAAATGGCCCTTAATTGAAATAAAAAATCCTAGGCTTCAAAATATATACTTGCAAACTTGTGAATTGCTACTAAATTCTTGTGATTTTAAAAAGAAAAGTTATGAATATTAGAATAATGCTTATGAATGATAATTAATATTTATAACACTTGAGGAATATCAAGATTTTAATTGTGAACTTGTGAATTTCTGTTAAATTCTTGTGAATTTAAGAAGAAAAGTTGTGAATTTTAGAACAAAACTTGTAAATGATAATTGATATTTGCCGCTTGAAGAATATCAGCATTTCAAATGCGAACTTGCGAATTGCTGTTGAATTTTTTCAAATTTAAAAAGAAATGTTGTGAATCTTATAACAAAACTCATAAATGACAATTGATATTTGCAACACTTGAAGAATATTAGAATTTCAAATGCAAATTTGTGAATTACTGTTAAATTTTTATGATTTTAAGAAGAAAAATTGTGAATATTAGAATAAAACTTGCGAATCAAGGGCATGAAGTATCTGTTCTAAGGCCTTAGATTTTTACTTCAATCAAGAAAAATTTGAATTTTATATTAATTTTTTAATGACATAAAACTCTTTAGACACTTCAGGAGAATTATGACATTTCAAGGGATCAAAATGTCATTTATATAATTCAAAAAGTTTTTATTGTCATTTTCCTAATGTATAACTTACATAAATTTTGAATTTTAAAAATTATGTAATTAATTTGGAAGTTATGAAATATTTTTAATAACAATATAAAATTTCTTAAATTTTGTTTTTTAAAAAATTAAAAATTTTAATATCCACAGATTGATAAATCTATGGATCAAATTATAAAAGTTCAATTAAATTAAAATAAATCACATGAATCTAATTTAAAATTGAGAGAAAATATAGTTTTTAAAAATAGTAATATATATTAATACATATTAGAGTACTGTTGAGGATGAGCTCAAAAAAGCAAATCATAATTTTCTAAAATAGTGATAAGACAGTTTTAAGTCCAAATGGCATAATCGTCCATTGGTATATCTCACTCCCATAGTAGAATAAAAGCAAAGCCCCTCTCACTCATCGGTTTTTCTCAACAATATTAATATGGGGAATTTGTGAAAAATATGTATTTACTAATATAAAGTGACTAATATTTTAGATTCTAAAGCTGGTATTAAAAAAAAAAGGACTTATATTTGGGATTAGAAGGAATAGTGTTGATTCCATTGAATACGCCCTTCATCATCAATGCATAGCTACACATCATTACCATTGTAAGTGCAAAATTTTAAAAATTGCAACTGCTATTATAAAGGCTATTTTATTGAATAGGGCAATGACCATCAATATTTTAAATTTTTCCAATCACAATGCCTCTGAAAAGCATCTTATGACCTGCTATAGAAGATCAAATTAATCATTTTGTTTGCCACCAATATAAAATATCCAGATAAAAGGTCAAGAATGTAAATTGAGCTGCATAATACGTTTATCTGTAATCTGATAGAGCTCATTATTTTCCTAAGACATATCAGAGGAAGTCAAAGGGGAGGAATAACTCTAGTGGAAATACTTTAACTGGTCTAGGGACTTATCCGTCAGTCCCTGGCCATAAGGAATAGCAATTTGTGACCTTTTGTCATGATTAGAATCTTTTGGGTAGTATGGGCCGTGTGTAAGCCATGCTGAAGGTATTAGTAGTCTTTTGCTTGGACAGTGGGGGAGGAGAGGAGAATGGAGTTGTGAGGAGAGACTGGCCTCTCGAATGCCAGTGGTAAGGAACTTGTATTTTGAAGCTTGAAATCTAGTGGCTGGAGTTATCTTGATTTTATAGAGGAAACAGGGTTTTTGCCAGAATTAGAGAGTGTCCTTGTAACTCTGATTCGGTCCATTCAGCTCATTATTATAAAAAACCTCAGCATTTTCCTCTCATATTTAGTGCTGTTATTGTCTTAATTTAGTGTTTCTGTTGTATTATTGGTTGGGTCACATTATTTGGTATCAGAGCAGTGAGATTTCTGGGTAAATTGAGAGAGAAGTTATGGCCGAAATAGTACAATATGCTGACCAAGAAGTACAGGAGTTGAAAGAGACAATTGGGGTATTAACTAAGGATGTAGGTGACATCAAAGATCCATTGAAGGCAATTACTGAAACACTGGGGCAGATAGAAAAGAGGATACCAGGGCCACGTGTGGAAGAACAAGAAGGAAATCATCATGAGGAGGCTTTTGCGACGAACCTAGGGGGAGATATTGAAGGTGGCAAGTATCAAAAATTAGAGCTACCTGTTTTCTCAGGCGAGGACCCCATTGGATGGCTTTTCAGAGTTGAACGCTATTTTCACATGAATTCTGTAGCAGAATAGCAAAAACTAGAGGCAGCTGCGGTATGTCTTGAAGGTAAAGCTTTAAACTGGTACCAATGGCTCGATACAAGGACTCCACTGAGCAACTGGCCCAAGTTCAAAAGAGAACTATTGTGACGGTTTCATTCCTCCCAACCAGGAGGTGAGTACGAGAGGTTATTCATAACTAAACAAGAGAAATCTGTGCCTGATTTTGTAGAAGAATTCAAATTATTGTCAGCGCCATTAAGGAAAGCTTTAGAAGAATGCTTAATTGGAGTTTTTCGTTTTGGACTAAAAGATAAAATTAAGGCTGAGCTGAAACTCACCAAAACTACGACATTGAGAGACCTGATGGAGGTGGCCGTGTGTATTGACGAGAGAAATCAAATGCTGGCTGAAAGTAAAGAGTCTAAGGCAACTCGAGCCCAATGCACCCATTATGGGCCAAGATCCGATTTGGCCTAACCAATGTATTCTACACGTGTAGCCCATGTGACAGAAGGCAGCAAGCACGAGACAACACCAGCGTCTTCCTCCACAGAAAACACGAGGCGGACTGATGCAAAAATAAAGCATTCGAAGGCTGGGAGTACATCAAACTGGAGTTTTGCAGTGAGGAAAGGAAGTAATTCTCGGTGCCTATTTGATGCTGAAATCGCAAGAAGGAGAGGACTAGGGTTGTGTTTCAAGTGCGGTGACAAATATAATCCCGTTCATCAGTGCAAGAACAAAAATCTCCAAGTTCTGATCATGGAGAAGGGAACGGACCGAACACTTGAGGAGGAAGAAGTAAAACCTGAACCTAAACTTGAAGTCGAAGGTAATAAGAATTCTGAAAAAGAGACACAGATGGATTTGTCTTTAAACTCCATGGCGGGATTCAGCAACAACCATAACATGAAGGTCAAAGGGACCATTGTGGGCACTGAAGTGATCATACTCATTGACAGCGAAGCCACTTATAATTTCATTGCTGAGGATTTGTAGAACAGGTTGAAACTACTCACTGATGAAATTTTTGAGTATAAAGTTACAGTAGGCGACGACTTTACCTTGAAAGGGAGAAAGCATTGCAAGGATCTCTGTATGAAGGTACAAGGGCTTAACATCATTCAGACCTTTTACCCATTCCCCCTAAGTGGTGTTGATGCTGTATTGGGAATGGAATGGTTGAAATCACTGGGTAATGTGAGAGTGAACTGGAGCCAACTAACGATGAAGATTGGTGAAAAAGGAGAGCAAGTTTGTCTATAAGGGGACCCAACTCCTACCAAAGCACAAGCTACCTTCAAATCCTTAATGCGCTTAGTAGGGAAGAAAGGGGAGGGATTCTTGATTGAATACAATGGCTTGACCAGTAATGGTGAAAGTACAAAAATTTTGAACCCAAAAATTCAAACATTATTGGAAAATTTTCTAATGGTTTGCTAAGCTATTGAGGGGCTTCCTCCATCCCGCTCTAAGGATCATGCTATTGTAATAAAATCAGGGAAGCAACCACCAAATATCAGGCCTTATCAATACCCCTACTTACAAAAAAATGAAATAGAGAACATGGTGAAAGACATGTTAAAATCTAGAATTATACGGCCTAGCAACAGTCCTTACTCAAGCCCGATATTGCTAGTGAAGAAAAAAGATGGAAGTTGGAGGTTTTGTGTTGACTACAGGGCATTAAACAAAATTACAGTTCCTGATAAATTTCCCATTCCCGCTATTGATGAGCTATTTGACGAATTGAAGGGAGCCACAGTGTTTTCAAAGCTGGATTTAAAGTTCAGGTACCATCAAATCCGAATCAAAGCAGGGTATGAACACAAAACAGCATTCAGGACACATGAGGGACATTATGAGTTTAAGGTGATGCCGTTTGGATTAACCAATGCTCCCTCAACCTTCCAATCCTTGATGAATGAGTTATTCAGGGAATATTTGCGCAAGTTTGTGCTAGTTTTTTTTGATGATATTCTTATATACAGCAGTGATGTAACTGCTCACTTGAAGCATCTGAGGACAGTATTTTCTGTCCTGAAAGAAAATCAACTCGTGGTAAACTTAAAGAAGTGCAGCTTTGTTCAGTCCAAGATTGAATAATTAGGGCATTTGATTTCAAAAGAAGGGGTTTAATCCGATCCAGCCAAGGTAGAGAGCATGATGAAGTGGCCAAAGCCTAAGAATGTGAAATCCTTGAGAGGATTCCTAGGGTTGACCGGATACTATCATCGTTTTGTTAAGAATTATGGGAAGATTGCTAGTCCTCTTACTGATTTACTCAAAAAAGACTCATTTAAATGGTCAACGGAAGTAGAAATTGCTTTTGAAAAACTCAAAATAACTATGACCACACTACCTGTGCTTGCAATGCCTGATTTTACCTTTCCTTTTGAGTTAGAAACCGATGCCTCTGGCACTGGTGTAGGGGCTGTTCTAACACAGCAAGGCAGACCTGTAGCATACTATAGCCAAAAACTCTCTACTCGAGCACAACAATGCTCCATTTATGAAAGGGAGCTCATGACTATTGTCATGGCAGTCAAGAAATGGCAGCATTATCTTTGAGGGCATAAATTCATCATTCATACAGATCAAAAGGCCTTGAAATACTTGCTGGAGCAAAGAGTAGTGGAAGAAAACCAGCAAAAATAGGTCTCTAAATTATTGGGATACAAGTTTAAAATTGTGTACAAGCCTGGGAAAGAGAATAAGACTGTTGATGCATTATCCAGACAAGAAGAATCACTAGAATTGCTGGTATTTTCTTTATGGCAATATAATGATGTGGAAGACTGGAAAAAAGAGGTACAGGCTGACCTAAAATTGAGAAAAATTTTGCAGCAACTTATCACGGATAAAAATGGGGTGGAAGGGTACAACATGGTCCATGGCTGCCTGCACTACAAAGGCAGAATAGTACTACTAAAAAGCTCCACCAGAATTTTCCTTGCTACTTAAGGAGTTCCATGATTCTCCGATAGGGGGGCATTCGGGTTATTTACGGACTTACAAGAGGCTATCCAATGTAGTGTATTGGGAAGGGATGAAGAGGGATGTCCAGCAATATGTGGCAAGTTGTGAGGTGTGCCAGAAGAATAAGTATCAAGCTTTAACTCCTGCTGGTCTGTTACAGCCATTAACTGTTCCTCAAAGTGTTTGGGAAGATATTAGCATGGATTTCATCACCGAGCTTCCCAAATCAAAGCGGTATGACACCATTCTAGTAGTGGTGGATAGACTCACAAAATATGCACATTTCTTCCCTCTTGCCCACCCTTTTTCTGTAAAGGATGTTGCTGAAAAGTTTGTAGCTGAGGTTGTGAAGCTACATGGTTTCCCTAAAATCATAGTTTCAGATCGAGATAGGGTTTTCATTAGCCATTTTTGGCAAGAATTGTTCAAACAAGCTGGAACTCAACTTTGCCTTACTTCATCTTACCATCCAGAATCTGATGGACAAACGAAGGTGATAAATAGAAGCTTGGAAACTTACTTGCATTGTTTTGCCAATAAGAAGCCTACTCAATTGGCTAAATGGTTGTCTTGAGCTGAATATTGGTATAATACTTCATTTCATAGTGCGGCGAGCATGACACCTTTTAAGGCAATGTATGGAAGGGATCCTCCTACTTTTTAAAATTTAGTGGCGAATCCTCAGCTGTAAAAGACGTGAATGCACAGATTTAGATTTGAAATCAGATCATTGAGCAATTATGGGAAAATTTGGCTAAGGCTCAAAGCAAAATGAAGGTGCAAGCTGACAAGCATCGTAGGGATGTGCATTTCGAAGTGGGGGACCTTGTTTATGTGAAACTTCGACCTTATCGGTTGAAAACCTTGGCTCGGAGGGACAATGAGAAGCTTAGCCCACGTTTCTACGGACCTTTCAAGGTTCTTGAAAAGATCGGGACTGTGGCCTACAAGCTGGAACTCCTACCTACTGCCCGCATTCACCCTGTATTCCATGTTTCTCAGCCAAAGCAAACAGTTTCAGCTGCTGTGGTACAACCTTCCATTCCCCCAATACTTTCTAATGAATTTGAATTGCAGGTGCAGCCTCAAGATATAAGAAAGGTTCGCAAGCTTATGAACAGACAGCGAGAGGTATTGGTTAAATAGCAAGATTTACCAGAATTTGAGAATTCTTGGGAATGTGCAAAAATGATTTGCCAACAGTTTCCAACTTTTTCCCTTGAGGATAAGATGAAACTCTTAGGGGAGGGTAATGATGGAGCCCATTATTTTCCTAAGACATATCAAAGGAAGTCAAAGGGGAGGAATAACTCTAGTGGAAATACTTTAACTGATCCAAGGACTTATCTGTCAGGCCGTAAGGAACAGTAATTTGTGATCTTTTATCATGATTAGAATCTTTTGGGTAATATGGGCCGTGTGTAAGCCATGCTGAAGGTCTGTAGTCTTTTGCTTGGACAGTGGGGGAGGAGAGGAGAATGGAGTTGTGAGGAGAGACTGGCCTCTCGAATGCCAGTGGTAGGGAACTTGTATTTTGAAGCTTGAAATCTAGTGGCTGGAGTTATCTTGATTTTATAGAGAAAATAGGGTTTTTGCCAAAATCAGAGAGTGTCCTTATAACTCTGATTCGGTCCATTCAGCTCATTATTATAAAAAACCTCAGCATTTTCCTCTCCTATTTAGTGCTGTTATTGTCTTAATTTAGTGTTTCTATTGTATTATTGGTTGGGTCACATTATAATCATTTTGCTTTCTTTCTTCTGAAAACTCTTCCAAAGGCTGTGTAACTTTTTCACAACCTCTGCAATTTTTTTTAGGATAAACATAATCATTAATTTATATATATATATATATATATATTGGTTGCTTCAAATCCCTCTTGTTTATCCCATACACTTCATCAGTCTCTCTACTTTTTATTATGCCCAAAACGACAATAGATGACACAGTATAAAAAATGTTCCCTCAATCTATTGAAACATAATTCAATCTTAGCACAAATATCAATAACGTTAGTCATCGGTTAGCATATTTAACATTGACAGTGTCATCTCATCGTTCTCTTGGACAAATTAAAAAATAAAGGGGCTAATGTTGCACACGAGATAAACTAAAAGGAGCTGAAACAATGATAAAAAGACTACTGGGACTTATACCAAAATATGTTAAAAACAATAATAACCAATAATTGTGTTTTCCCATTTTTATACAGGCTGGATCTGAAGATCAACGATCAAAGTTTACAACACTGTTTTGACAACTAACAAAAATCATACACTCTCACTCTGTAGTGATCTCAGAATCAAATCAACCGCAACATGTCACATTTGTTGAGAGCTAAGATACTGGAAGAATCCTATGATCTACTCTGAGGAAATGAGCATATATATATATATATATATATATCAATTTCAATTCTTTCAGAAAGTTCAGATGCAGAAATCTGCAATGAAATTCACAAACTCTATTACTTTGTACAGACTATGCACATCTGATCTTTTCCTATGACTCTACACTGCACTCGGAGACTAAAGTCCTTATCTCCTTGCATTTTGCGATCCATCAAATACAGGAGTTGGATCCCAGTTACTGCCTCGAGCAATATCCCCATCACGATGAGGTGGAATACTTACAATGTGAATCTCACCAGGTTGTGGGCTAATAATGTCATTGTTTGTAGATGAGCCTTGAGCACCATTTTGAGATTCAGCCAACATCTGAAAATATGCATAAGGGCCCCAACCTACGCACACAATTATATGAAAATTATATGAAAATTATACACATAAGAAAGTCCTGAATGAAAACATTTCAAAAGCCTGACCCTCAGATAAGACAAAGAGCCTGTTTGGTTTCAGGTTGGAAACCATCAAAACCATGGTCTCCAATATGAAACCAAACACACACACTGTGCAGTAGAGGACTATGAATACCAGTTTTAGCAACTAGCAAGGATTTTATACAAAACTCTAACTTGCATAATATTGAGTAACAACATTTATGAACACTGAACTTAAGTTGGTGGAATGTTTTAAACATGCCCTGATATGAGCAACACACACACTTTTTTTCTAATTTTTTTGGCAGTATCATTAAGCTAAATGCCTGAATAAAAGCCAAATAGGCTAAATGTACCATTAACAGTTGACCATGCAAACTATGCCCGCCTACAGCATAATCAAGCTCAAAGAAACATGTCCAGATGAAAAACTTATGCTAATCACACAAGTCCTTTAAGCTTAAGCACTCCAAGGAATTATATATACCAAGCAAACAAGGAGTGCCCTTTCAGTGCAACAAAGTGTGTTCTTCATACTTGAACTGAAATTGCTACTATTATATTTTTATGCAGCAAACAAACATAATTAAAAAGGTTAAACATGCCAGGAGAGAGGGTGTAAACTAATCAAGAGGAATCCAATATCACAAGCACAGTTGAAAACAAAAATCACAAAGCAGATCCTCCATGTCTTAAAAGATGACGATATAGAAATTTCCATGATAATTGATTGAATGAAAATTTAGAGAAAACATTCAACCATATCAGCCTATTGATATCACATTTACTTGGTTTTATTAAGCCCTTTAGATTGGACAAGGGTTATTTCAACTCAAAAGCTTATGTTATTTATAATTGCTTTTCATTAAATGCGGAGAAAGGATCATGCCATCATACATCATATAAAATTTTAATTTAAAGCAGAAAGAATGGGAACAACAATGGTCGAACTCAACCATAGAGCTTCAATACCATATTAGGATCATTTCAAGCCAAGGCTTAAAGCGATTAAGCAAATTTTCATGATTGGTTTTTATTAATATTTCTAACAAGTTGAAGCATGATTAACATATTGCTTTGAAGCACACCTTTAACACACTAAGCCATATTACCGCCACAGGACACATACATTGAAAGTCTAAAAGCAGAGTGTCACGACAATTCAATGTGTTAAAGAGGACAAGGCACAATTCATGGACATACCATCTAAATCATATGGAGGAGGAAAGAATTGCAAGTAACAAAAAGAAGCAATGATAGATCCTGCATGAAAGAAGTTCACATAAGGAATTTCGCAAAAAGGTCTTGTGTTAATATTTAGTAACATAAAAACAGAAATTTTCAGGCCTTAAAGAACACACCAATAAGACCTCCGGCAAACACATCTTGCCAATGATGCCAATAATCATCAACGCGTGAGACTGCAACCATAGCTGCCATGAGGATTGGTAAGAAAACAATACAGAGCTTTGCAACATGGCCCCTACGATCAAATACCTTAATTTTTCCAGATAGATACCAAGAAAGAAAAGTTAGACCAGCAAAAGACCCTGCATAAAGAACAATGACATAGTGGTTAGCTCATTTTGAGGTAGCTCAAGAAGCCTGGACCTTATTTTTGTTTTTCCAGGAAGCAGACTCCTCAACGGTAGTTTGAGTTATGACAGTCTGGTCCTATTATTATCCAAAATCACTTCAATTAACATGTAAGATCCAGAACTTGGAGGACTTGATAATATGAAGATAATATGAAATTTAAGCATATGATTGAAAAATACATAAACAACAGTACAGAAAACTGGAAAAACTAAATTTGTGTTTGAATATATTTTTTCAAAAGTCAGTTTAGTAAACTGAAAGTTGTTTGGATTAATGATAATTTGCGCTTTTGAAATGCACTTTTGCATATATAATGACCAAAAAGGACACTAATTTATGATAATTTATAATTTTTGTTATACAAATATAATATATTAAAAATGTGAAAAAAATTCAAAATAAAATAAAATTTAATATGTTAAATAATAAGAATTAAAAATGTAAAGTTAATATTGAAAAAAAATGTAATAAATAATTCAACAGTCATTAATATTGAATAACATACCCTATAAATAGGATTAAAAACTTTTTTTTTCTTTTTCATATACAAAACGTTCACAAAATTGCCTCCTTGTATAATTTATTTGGCCTTGTGGCTATTGCACTAAATTCAAATTCTAATAAAACAGAGCATGTAATAAGTACTGTAAGGGAATAAAGAAAGTATAGTAAATTCAAAAACTCAACACCAGAAAGTCAGTTTGAAAAACTCCAAAAAGTAAAGATGTCAAATCCACTTCCAATAGCTTTCTCAATGAACATTTAAAAAGTCAGTTTGCCTAATCATGAAATTTCCAAACAAGATCCTACATTCAAAAAGTGCAAAAGTACATCCCAAAAACTAAAAGTTATGTATCCAAACAGGCCCTAATAGGAAAAAGGATCGCCCAAAGAAAATGAAGATCTGAGCTTTTAAACAATTTAACGGACAAACTAAACTTGGCAGATTGCAGATAGGCTCATCAGGGTACTTACATGATGTATGTCCACTGGGGAAACTTTTGTGTCCTTCCTTGATAACACTCTTATCTCCAGTGCACATAACATCACTTGTTATTGAATCAAACACCTGAACATGTCATGCGCAAATGCCATGTTAGCTGTGCAGATAGCTAAAGCAATGTGCGTCACATGCAAATAAAATCATTTTTCATACAACAAAATGGTTAGTTGATAAAATAAAGAACCCACCCCTTTGCCATTTGGAAAACATCGCCAAAAAAAGTCAGGGCGTGGCCGTCCAACACCATCTTTGATAGCATCAGTTATCACCGCAGTAATCAGAACAGAAAATAGAAGCCCTGAAGAATGCATTTGGCAATACATGATGTTAAAGAATTACAATCATGGCAGCGTGATGTACAAACGAGATGGAGAGGAAAAACTTCTAAAGCATAAAAAATGTACCCAATATAGCATGATGAAAATCATAAATGTCCTTCCGCTTGATATAGTAGAAGAGAATGACTACCAGTGGCAACAATATAGCTATTACCTATCCAGGAAATTAAAATAAAAGAGTTTATATTTAAACTGATCACGCCACATAGGCCAATGTAAGATCAATTTCATTTTTTAATGAAACAATTCCGTGAAGAAAAACGAACCGGGACAGCCCAAAAGGGGACAGTATTATCTTTCATTGGGTATCTTAGGTCGGTCATCATCCCCTCCCCAACAAAGCGGTGAAACGGCTCTATCAGATTCAAGATCACATCAATGACAACAAGAAGCAAAAGAATTAACCAGTCATGCAAATGTATTCTTGCCACTTGAGCTCCATGTGATTTAATAGTGTGTGTAGCCGACTGAATTTCTGGCATTTTTCTCTGTGAACGACAAAATAGGAAGATTAGCAAATGTTGATCAAAATTTAAATCGCCAGACATTATAGGAATAAAGTGACATCACAAATTGAAAGGACTTAAAAATGGAAAGAATGTCACAAACAAATACAGATGCCGTTCCAAAGTGAAACCATCAAAACAGAACAGAGGAGAAAATAGAAACTAACAAGGAGGGTATAACAAGTGTGGCGAGAATAACTTGGATCATAATCCTAGATAGATGGTAGACGTTGAGAACCTAACTTCCACAGGAGATAGGAGAAAACCAAATCCCCGATCGGCACCTTGAAGATGTAACTTTTCAACACGGGAGCCAAAAAAGCGAAAGGGCACAAACAAAAGCAAACATGAGTATTAAAGTTTTAAAAATACCAATTTAGTCAAACCAAAACATATCAAACTGTACAATCACGAAACATCCTAATTGAAATGGATCAATCCATTCAGTCATCCTCTCTCTCTCTCTCTCTCTCTCTCTCACTCTGGACTTTTCATGTACAGTGGACTCTGCATGCAGCTTTAAAACCAAAAAAGGGAACGAGAAAGAGGAATGCTAAGAACCAAACACCCAAAAATAATAATAATAATAAAGACTCGTATTTTTTTTTAAAAAAAAAAATGAGATTGCAGAGAGAAAGTGAGAAACCACAATGAGCACGAGAGAACAGAGAGATTCGTGAACAGAGGCACACACCTGCACGGAATTCGAGTTGACAAAGAACGCGAGAGAGAATAGAATTTTCAGGGAGCGATTGGAAATGCTTTATGAAGCAGAAGATTCAAACGTGGGGAAGAAACGTCAGCGAGGGGACGACAAGGAAGACCATGGATTTACAAAAGAAAAGACGAGGGGAAAGGAAAAGAGACGCGTGGGTTATAAGTGCCCGGAAAAGGCGCGTGAGGCTCCGCAATAGTGAAATCAGGTTATGATTAGAGCAAGATAAAGGATTGATCGCTTTCGTGTTTTTCCTAATTAGTGAGCACTGTAAGGAGACAGTGGCTAGGGAAAGAAGACAGGATGCTTGGCTTCTGCAATCTGAACAACTTTATTTTTTATTTTAGATTTTGATTAATTAAATAAACAAAAGTACTCTACAGATTATCTGGAATTTCCATAGGTGCTCATTTTCATTCAATATTTTAATTCTATATTCTAAATTTTTATAAAGTTCAGACTAGAAAGTAATATTACAATGAGGGGAAAAAAACAGAGAATGCAAATAAAGGTAAAATAAAAATGTAGATTAATTCTTTAATTATATAAAATATTTTTTTTATTTTTCCTATCTTAACATTATTAGTCTCAACTGATACGTTTAATATTAATTGTTGTTTTAAAAAATAAAATTTAATGGGTAAACATTTGAAAAATATTTTATCAACATTTCATATTTTAATATTAGAACTTTTTATTAATAAAAATAATAGTATTATAGTTAGAGAACTGAAAAGATATTTTATAAAAATTAAATGATTAAAACAAAATCTTATATAAAATTACAAAATAAATGTATATTTTTGTTAGCAATAAAGGGGAGAATGAATCTTCTAATATTTATACTTTCACTCAATTTGTAATCAGGTCCCTCTATAATATTTATACATCCATGTATTTAAAAAGAAATTCCAAAAATAAAATTAGAATATTAATGTTAAACGAGAACATGCTCACATCTCAAACTCCCAATTTTTACAATTTTCTCGAATGAAAATTTCTTATTTATCATTAATCTTATAATCAGGCCTTGAATTGCCATTCTCCCAATTATATTTTATATTCATTATTTTTATTTTGAAATTGTCAACAAGGTATGTTCGCTAAAAAATAATTGTTAAGAAGGTTTGCAAAGTTGGTGGCCAGCCTTCTAGTGTCATAAACTTACCGGACTAATTTATTCATACAATATCATGTTTTCTTAGGCCAAAACAAAAGTTATTGATATTACCCAAAGTTATTAATTCATTTATCATTATATTACGGCCAAAAAAAATTATATTTAGCACAAATATATAAAATTAATGCACAATATATACATTCAACAAAATATTAAAATTAAATGAACTCTAACATCTGTTTCTTACATGAAAATTAACAACTTAAAGGAAATAACTATCTTTTTTCATAAAATGATCACAATATATATATATATATATGACATAAAAAGAAATTACATGTTGAATATTTTGCCAAAGCAAACGATTACATGTTGAATATTTTTTAGGTATAGGGAATCACATTTTTCAAAAAAGAGAAGATATATATAAAAAAAAAAAGAATTAAGATACCTTGCTTGTTTGGAGGAATTTTCCAAGAAATCATGTGGATTAAATAAACAAGAACAAAATTGAATTCAAAGATAAGACAAAAGAACAATGGTCCACACGCCTACGTATCCCCATTGGCATATATAGATTTGCTTCTTGGCCAACACATTGGTACGTAGATTATTAATACACACGCATGCATGGGTTAAATGGCAATTTCACTTTGAAACTGCCGTGTCTAGAATCTTAAGTTTATTTTTAGCATAATGTTTCGTTTAATATTCAAAAACTGTGTAATGTCACTCTTATCATTAATAAAAAATTAACTTTAATAATTAATTAATCAAAAAATTATAGAAAAACACCTCAAAAATAAAATAAAATAACACCTAAAAAATTAAAAATAAGTACCATAAAATATTTTAATTTTTTAGTCATTTTCTGTAATTTTTGATGCATTTTTTGTAATTTTTATATCTTTTTCTATAATTTTTTAGTTAAATAACTATTGAAATTAACATTTGTTAATGATAGGGGAGCATCACACTATTTTCAAATATTAAAGAAAAAAATTGTATTAAAAATGAGTTTAAGGATTTAAATGTTTCTAAACCTATAATTTAAAAGGCCAAATTACCATTTAACTATATTTTAAATCGTGGCTTAATTCATTGATTAGTTAACATTATTGTATTAGAAGTTCTTAAATCCAAATTAATCACGAACAGTTGATGAGCCATTACTACTCATAAGTAATATAATTTTCTACAATTTTTATGGATATATATATATATATATTATATTATATTAATTGATGATTGATTATTTAGACAGTTTGTCACACAAATACACTCTCCCATATATTATTGGCAAAAAAAATATTATTGGAAAAATATCATTTAGTGATGATATTTAATATCAATCAAAAATTAAAAGACTTTGAAATATCCATGTTGGATTAGGACAAATAGGAAAAAGTTATAATACCCCTACTTTTTTAATTAACAAATAATCATTTGTATTTAATAAAAAGTCATTCACTAATTAAAGAGTTCAAGAATTTGAAATACCTTCGTTGTGGGAAGGGATAAATCATTTGTCAATTACCAAGTATCCATTTACATTTAGCAAGAAGTTATTTACTAATTGACAAATTCAAAAATATGAAAGAGCTTGGTTGTAGGAAGGGACATATGTAGATCATATTTTAATAAGTAGTTATTTATTAGTTAATAAATACTCATTCGTATTTAATAAAAAATTATTTGCTAATTCATAAGTTTAGGAATATGAAAGAATTTGGTTGTGAGAAGAGAAAAGTGTAGATTATGTTTCAACTAATAGCTATTTGTTAATTGATAAATACTTATTTACATTTAATAAGAAAACATTCCTTAATTGACAAGTTTAAGAAAAGAAAAAGAATAGCATAGGTATTATAGTCTTGATGCAAAACAAGGAAGAGAAAGAAGGGAGAAAAGAATAGAGAAAGAAATAGAAGAAGAGAGTAGAGAGAACATAGATAAGAGAGAAACTCATAAAAGAAACAAGGTAATAGCAATCCCCATCCAATCAAAGACATATCTATATTTACAAGTCTCAGCCTAACCTTAAAAATAAATAGAGGTGTTCAAGAGATGAACAGGATTAGGAAATCCTTATCCCATATCTTATCCCAAAAAATGATCAAGCTTCAAATTTTGTCCCATGTGTCATCCTAGTAGGAGTTGGCATAAGACTGGGACATTCTGGTGACCATCCTTACTTGTTTTAACCACTCATGTATCTTTAAATAACTAGTAATACTTAACTAAAACGTATAAAGAATTATATTTTTTTTATATATGATTAATCAATTGAGTTTCAACACATAAACGGATAGATATAAGGACATGAGTTATCCAAATACAAGAGCCTATGTGCAAGTGTAGGCTATTTGGTTAGAGCCTTTTATAAACTTAGATTATAAGCAACAACAACTAGGTATAGACTTGAAAAATGAACTCAATAGATTATTTGAATGGTTACAATTTGGATTTTCATTTTTAATTATTTAAATTAATATCAATAATTATAAAAAAAATATCTCGTAAGTTGCTTGGCCAAACTGAGTATCACGGAGCAATGCAAAATTAAATAAAGTAAAGATAAGTAAAAAATATAAAAAAATAAATAATAAAAATAACATAATAATTAATATATATATATATATATTATATATATATATATATATATTGGGATGAGGCGTGATGTCTTGAAAGATATTCTAAGTCTCGTCCCAGTTCCTTTTCTGTCCCATTCCACAAATGTCTACTCTCGATTGTTTTAAGTAAGGACAAATTTATCTTGACATGATTGGGATAGGTATGGACCAACTAAGATGTACATAAACCTGAATACCCCAATATATAAAAGTGAAAAATTTTTAGAAATTTTAAAATAAAATGACAAGATAATGATTAATACTAAAATATAATAATAATTTAAATATTAAGACAAATAAAATAAAACACTCTTTATTAATAAAACAAAATATCTTCAATATTTGAATCTCCTCAAATATTCAATATTTTCAATTATTTCCTTTTCTTTCCTTCATTTCTTATTCCTATCAAGTCTTTTCCCATCTAAACATTTTATAGTGATATTTCAGAATTTTTCATTCCTTATTGGACATTAATTCGCCTTAATGGTGCTTAAATGATATTTTCTTTAAAAATTAAACAGATATATGATAGAATCATAATAGCTATTATACATTTTATTTTTTTACATATTAAAAAAAATTCTCTAATGATATCAAATGTGCATTTATTTGGTTCAAAAACTCATGTTGGTGTGAATGAAAATGCTTTTATCCTTTAAGTAAGGAGTTGATGGAAGGCTTAATTTTTGTAAAAAATTAGTTTCAAGCTGGTATTTCATTTGTTGTTTGAGATGCCATTAGATGGTTGTTAGGTGGTTTCTCAACTACTTGTAATGTCACAAATTTATTATTTTACTTTGTATAACTCTGTTTTGGACTTTTTTTATTTTCTTTTTCTTTTGAAGGAATATAGGAAACTTCGTTAGCAAGCGAATAAAGTTGAAGGTTCATGTTATATATATATATATATATATATCATCTTCTTGACAAATATTAGTTATTTTAATGAAAGATATTCTTGGAATTTTAAAAATGAGCCCTTAGATGAATTTAGTCATGATTCTTTTCATTGTGTTCTTCAAATACAACACTTTATTATATACATATATATACTCCTTTCAGATTTATTTACACTATTAAAATTTAATTGTCATTATGTATAGGCCAAGGGCGGAACTAGCTTACTAAGTGTGGGGAGCCATATTTTTGGGAAAAAAATTATAATTAAATTGAGATTTTAATATTTATTATTATTAATATTTT